CAAAGGCCAGCAACCTTTGGGCCCTTCAGCCCCCAGCCAAGCCTTCTCTTGCTGCACCAGACTGGACAGAGATAAGGTCCCCCACCCCGGGACACAGGCGCCCCCCAGGCCCAAGATCCACTAGATCCGGCCTGGTCTCAAGAAGCCCAGCGGGATCCCATCTGGCCAACGGGGCAGGAAACCCCGGAAGGACCGAGGGGAGTCACCTGCCTTCCCAGAACAAAGCGCTACCTGCGGCCAGTCGGCTTCCTTTGGACCCACCTGGGGGATCCGCTGCGTCGGTCCTCACCCGGAAAGGACCCCGGAGCCGCGACTCCTGGGCGGGGGGCCTTTCGGAGGCCCCGGAGGAAAGCGGGGAGTCCGGCGGGGACAGTGCGGAGAGAGACGCCTGCCTGCCTGCCTGGGCAAGGAGAGGGGGGAGGGTCCGGGGGGCGGCGGGGAACGCAGGGCCCCGACCGAGGGGACAACAACGCCCATGCTCCCCAGCCAGCACCTGCCAGGCTCGGGGGGGGGGGGGACCCCCCAGGCCCCCGGTTCGTCCCGGGGGGCGGGGCTGGAGGGGGCACAGGTGGGGAGGGGTCCTGGGGCGGGGATAACAGGCACACCTCGCTCCCCTGCCCCCCCACACCGCGACCCTCTGCCCCCCCACCCCGCAGTCCTCACCTGGGTCGGGCGGCAGCCTCCCCGCGCGCCCTCCGCTCTGCGGTGCAGCCGAGATCGCGGCGAGGAGGCGTGGCCTCAGCCGCTCGGGTGGGCGGGGCCCGCGCAGCCTAACCTGCTCGTCGACCCAAAGCCTGGCGCGAGGGAAGCACCTCCGTCGCCATGGCGACTCCACGTCCCGAAAGGGCAGGGCTACGTCTCGCGGGTCGGAGCTTCGAAAGAGTCGGAAGGTGGGGGGAGGGGGGGGTGCGGGTCCCGTCGATCGCCGGTTCGAGACCCGATCACGGTCGCCAAAGAAGTCCTCCTCGCCCGGCCCCTGCAGCTGCCCTCCCGGCCGCTTGGACAGGCTTCCCGCAGTCCAGCCCGGAGTGGGTCCCACCAGCCCGGTCGCCTCTGGGGTGAGCGCCGCCCGCACGGCGGGCCTGGGTCCACCTGTAGCCCCCACCCCAACCCCCGCTGTCCAGCCCCCCGTGGAGCCCCGGCGGCCCCCCCCCCCCCCGCCCAAGATGTGGACTGCAAGTCCCCAAATTCCCCCGCCCGCTCCCCAGAGCCCCCCTCGGGCCGAGCGCCGCCCCGCTCCCTGCGGGGAGACACCCCCCCCCCCGCCCTCCCGGGCAACGGGAGCTCCGCGGAGAGGCGCGTGGCCTGCTTCGGCGGGCCGGGTTCCACCTTCGGCCCCGTCGAGCTGCCGGCAGGGGCCCCCGAGGCCGGAGAGGCAGCCGGCCCCCCTTCCTGGCCGGGGCAGGCCGGGCGGTTGAAAAATTCGCGGAGGCCGCTTCTTTGCTTCCTTTTACTGAGGATCACTTGAAAATACATAGAACCGAAGACAACATCGAAGTTTCTCTTTGTTTTTCTTTCTGGCCCCAGAGACACGAATGGCCAGAATTCCAAAGCGCGATCGAGTCAATGGCAACAGAGGAACAAGGGCGGAATTCAGGCAAGTCCCAAGGCTTCGGGAAAGAACAAAAACCACCCAGCGACAAAAGGTGAACCATAGAAACTGCGATGCCAGGAGGCCCTTCCAGCACGGATGGGCCAAGCCCCCCCCCCCCCCACACACACGCACACACATACATACACACCTACACTGCACACGCGCACACACACAAGCAGCAGCTGGTTTGTGTTGGGCAGGAGTTGCTAGACATTTCTCTCCCCCCCTCCCTCCCTCCCAAAACCTCCTGGCATTACTGGGGGATGAGGCACTTTAGCTCCCTGGCCCAGTTTGAGGACAGGAAGTCCCGATTTAATCTTCTGGGACCCCCTGCCTCAAAGCAGCCGGTGCCAGTGAGCAAGACAGGACTCGGGAGCAAAACAGGGAATTCACCCCTCAAAACCCCAAGGAAGCAGGGAAATTGTGCCTTTTCTGCCCCTCCAGCAGGGGGGATTTATCTGAGAGCTACTGTCCTCTGTGGGGTTAAAAAAAGTTCCTGGCCTTCCCTGCTTTGAAACTTGGAAGGCAAACTCAGGAAAAAGGGGTCAGCAATCACCAGGCTGAGCCAGGACAATCCCTACCTGAAAGGGAGTCTTGCCTCCCCCTGCCCTACAAGTCAAGCCCCCAGCCCAGAGGAATGATGTGGGCAACTGAGGCCGGCACCCAGGCCTCTCCCTGTGGGAGGAACTATCATCGCCCCCTGAACAAGCCTTCCAGGGCAGCCAAGAAAGGGAGCGGCTGGCAGGAGGTTACTCATCTGGGGGTGAAAAGGTGGCTTCCAACATGGACTCTGCCCCCATAATACCTGATAACACAGGTGCTCTGGCCAAAGGGCCGTAACTTATACATTGTTCCCAGGTATTTTATGGGAAGCAGTATATCACTTTGGTTATAAACAAACAGTAATGTTATAAGCTGAGAAAGCTTTCCTCCAATGCCTTCCTTGTCTTCTTCCTTGTGAAGCAGAAGAGAAAAATACCTGTTTCACTCATCCCCAGCCTCAACACACACCAGAGGGAAGGAGGGAAGTCCTCAAAATCACACATAGCTCTTGCACTGCGTAATCCAGATGCCCTTTTTATGCATGCATATGTGTGTGTGTGCATGTGTATGTGTATGCACACCAGCTCACACATATATATACATGAGCTAGTTATCTGCATAATATGTAACTATATACAAGACAGTTTCCTGCTAAAATGTTTACAAGATACATTTTGAGACAGCGACCAAAAATACACCTCTGTTTGCATAGGGATTCATGCACACAGACCTCAGGATGCACAGAATTCATAAATACGTGTAAATAATGTCTCCCTGGCATTTGTTTCCCCACATGCGGATCCTGCTCTCTAAGAGTCACAATCTGCTCTCTGGCTCTATTGGCAGCGAGGCCCAGGCACCGATTCCTCCGCTGCCATGAAAGAAGAGGGTGGGGGGTGCTTTCTGTAGTCCTGCCAAGAGTCCCTCCGAAGGGCATGAGCTGCCTTGCCCAAGACAGCCTCTCTGGGAGATTCTCTTCTGACCTCAATGGTCTCTGAACACACCAGGCACCCCCAAGGGAAGCCTGGCTGGAAACCAGGGCTAACCTCCTGCCAGGGACTCTGCGGATGGCTCCTTGTAAACAGTTCAGCTGCTGCCTTACAGATTGTGTGTGTGTGGGGGGTGTCACTGCTGGTCTCTACCATGGCACCATTGTGCCCAGAATGAAACGCCCCATCCCCATTGGCCAGAGGGTACCTACCCAAGCATTTATGAAAAGGATCTGGCTTAATTTTCTTGTTCAAAAGCAACAAGACTTCCCTTTCAGGAACAGATCACTCACTCAGGATTGTGCTTTTAAGAAAGATCACTAGAGCAATATCCAAAATTCGACAGCCCAGCACAATTAAAGTGCACATTTGCACACATACACACTCGCACACGTACTGGATCTTTTGGGTGTCCAACCTATTATCCAAAATTCCACTTCGCCCCCAATAGCCCAGAGAAAACATTTTAAAAGAGGAGTTGGTTTCAAAACTCCAGAAACTTTGGTCTCTAAAGGCTCCCTTTCCTGTCAAGTGGTCTGGGGAGAATCTGAGAATGAAAGATCGGCAAGAATGGAGCAGGTGGCCTGGGCAGGACTTTCCTTGTGTTTTCACCAATAACTGCACACAGGTTGCACCTCCACACTGAGACGGCCTTGCTGTTCTCAGGATCACAAGAAACAAGAAGCGTTTTACTGAGAAGGTTGTGGACGTGCAAAGAGAGGGAGTCTAATTTGCCTCCTGCTCCTCCCGACACCATCATCTTCCCCCTTAACTAAAAGATGTTTATCTACGATAACATTTTTGCCAAGGGTTCTTCCTCCCTGGGTTATACAGTTTGGAAGTCGGCCACTTCCACTTCCTGAACTAAATTTCCCTGGGATTTGCAGAAGGAAGCCACTTAAACGTTTGAAGCAACTGTAGAAATAGTAGCTGGGAATGAGCCATGATTGCAGACCTCCCTTCCTTTGAAGTCCAGCAAAGACATGACCCAGAATGGCAGAATTTTCTGCTTAGGTTCAACAGACAATGTTAAACATACACACATACACGTATCTATATATGTACCAGAAATGCACAGACACTTATGCACACAAGCTAACGGAGAAGGACAGGGGCTTCTAGGAGTTACTCTTTTTGTTACTTTCTCCCCTTCAAATGGAAGGGGGGGTTAGAAGCCCACGGGGGAACTGCAGCGTTGTTTTGGAGACCAGGCCTTCCCAAGAAAGAAAGGGGGGGAACAGCTATGGCTAAACGTCTTCTGGCTTGCGGGAAAGCAATTTCACAGCAAAAACGTGGGGACTTGCTTAGCCCAAGGGGAGGCTTCTTCCTGGCAGGTTTTGATAGGTACCGTAACAGAACCCCATTCTGCTTCTCTTGAAAAACACCTGAGTTTAAGAAAACCAAACCCCCAACCCTTCTTCCCTTCCCAAGAAGCCGAGGTCCCTGCTGACTGGCGATTCTGGAGCCGGCCAGGAAGACAAGGCAGAGACCGGGCTCCAGCAGGACCAGCGCGGGGCTGCCTCTTCACCACGGCCCAAGCCGGGCGACTGAAGGGGGCCCCCTGGAGAAGAAAGCACGGGGGATGCAGATGGACACCGTCCCACGGCAGCCGCAGGTGGAAAAGGTGGAGCTCCTTTGGCTGGAGAAAGGCCTCCTCCCTCTGGTGCTCTGTCAGAAAGAGGAGGAGGGGACCAGGCAGAAGGAACCTGCCAGACCAGCGCAGGGAGCCATGTCCATTTCCATGAAAGCAGACACCCACCAGTCAATATGGCAGCGGGAATTTGGCACAAAGGCCTCCGAGAAAAGCTCCAGGGCAGCCTGATCCTGAAGGCGGCGGAGGTCTGCCCCAAGCTGGAAGGGCGTCAGCCTGGGACCCCCACAGGGGTGCATGGCAGGAAGATCTGAAGGGAGGGGGACACGAAGGACTGGCCAGTTCCTGCCGCCTTCTCCAAGGGCCCGTCTCCCGCTTCGAATCCAGCTCTGTGCCAGGCCAAAAGCCGCCTCCCCCAACCAAGACGGGAGGGGGAAGGGCCGAGCGCCTTCCTTGGTGAGGTGGACAGAGTGGCGAGGCCAGGCTTTCCCCTGCTGCCTCTCCGGGGCCTGAGCCCCCAGGAAAGCCGCTCCCGGCCGGGACCCTTTGCATCCTCCATCCTCCTCGGGGGGGGGGGGGGGGGGCAGGAAGACGGCTTCCCAATTCACTTGTTCTCAATGAGCGTCTGCACTTTGGAGACGAGTTCCCGGGCCAGCTGCAGGACCTGCTTGGTGTTGTGCCGCTCAGCCATTTCTGGAAGAGAAAAGCAGGAGGAAAAGAGTAGAGGAAACCCAACAACGGGGAAAGGAAAGCACGGCTGGCTGGCTGGCTGGCTGGGGAATTCTGGGAGTTGAAGTCCACACGCCTCAAAAGTTCCACAGGTTGGAGAGCCCTGCCTTAGACCGCACCCGCTTTGGCGGGGGACGAAAGCAGGCCGCCTCGGCCGCATCCCAGCCCAACAAAACCATCGTCGGGGACGACTCTCTGCTGACAGGCTGAGGGTCTCCTGCAGACCCCAGCCGGGAAGGCCCCAGGGAGGCTGGGAGGCTTCCTGCGTGGGGCACCTACCATTGAAGAACTTGATGATGTCCGTGAAGTCCATGTTGTTCTCCAGAATGATGTCCCGATACACCTCCACCAGGGCCAGGGCGATGAAAAGGCCGTAGCCAGGGGACGAGACCTGGGACGCCGCCCAGATGGTCTCCCAGACAGTGAAGACGTCCTCGTAGACCAGCTCTGGGGGGGGGGGGAGCAGAAGCCGTGGGAGCTGCCAGGCCCCACACTGGGCCCCCAGAAGCCCCTCCTCCTCCTTACCCCCGCCACACAGCCAGGCCCAGAGATCACACCCAGCGCCACAGGACACCTGTGCCCATAAAGCTGTGCCAAGCAAAGGGCTGCCAGGCCCCCTGGGCCTCACCCACCATCCTCTCCCGAACTGGCCCCCAAGGGATCCTGGTGCCGCTCCTGGCCCGCTCACCTCGCTTGAAATCCAAGAGGAACCAGCGATAGCAGAAGTAGAAGTGGGTGTAATCCCCGTTTTGGTGCATCAGTTCGAAGAGCTCCGAGTCCAGAATCTGCCGGAAAAGCCCCTTTGGGTCTGGGGGGGAGGACAGCCAGGCCGCAGCACCCCCTGCCCCCCCAGTGCTCCCCCCAGCGGGGTCCAGTGCAGCCGCCTCCCCACAGCCTCCCCGCTGGGACTGAAGCCCCTCCGCCCCTCCCCCACCCGGAAGCCTTTCTGTTGAATGTCTCCCTGTGCCCCCCCCCCAGCCAGGTGAGGAACAGCCGGCTGCCCCTCCGTACCTGGATGAGGGACCGCATGTTGGCGAAGTGGGTGTCCATGGCTCCTCCGTGGGGGAAGTTCTGGTTCATCCTCTTCATCAGCTCCGTGAAGCAGCTGAAGGTCAGGGCTTCTGCCGAAGGAGCGGGGAGGAGCCACATCCAGGAACCCCCCTCAGCGCCCCCGTGGGCCCCCTGAGCCCAAAGCCTCCCAGGCACCAGGCTCCCCTCCCCCCCTGACCCCAGGGCCCCCGAGTCTCCCTTCCGGTCGTTTCCCCCCCTGCAGCCGATGGATCTCAGGCTGCTGCAAGGGGACCCCGGCCACCGCCAGGCCGCTGAGCCACTCACCCTCGTCCAGGATGACCAGCAGAGGAGCCAGCAAGTCACACATGCCCTGGACGTAGCCCACCTCAATGTGGTGCCAGATGTAGCTGCATGGATGAGGGAGGGAGAGACCGCGAGGGGTCAGCTGCGGCGGGGGGGGAGGCTCTGCAGCAGAGAGCGGCCTCCCCCAGGGAGGAGCCCCACCTGCACATGACGTTCCGCAGCTTCTCCAGGTTGGCCGGGCAGAAGTACCAGTAGTTGCGGTCACACCGCTGCACGTCCTTCTCAATCCGGTGCAGGTTGACCGTGTAGAGGTCCAGGAGCTCTGGCTACGAGTCAGAGGCGGGGGGGAGGCCGTTGAAAGGAGCGCAGAGCCCCACCAAGAATGCCCCCCCCCGATGGGACTCTGGCCTCCCCAAGGGGTCCCTCGACTCACGACCAGAAAAGGGAGGGAGGAGCCCGAAGGGGGAGCTCACCGAGTAGGTGACCCCCGAGGAGGAGACGGGGGAGACCTCGGTCAGGGTGAGGTCGGTGACGGCCAGGGAGCGCGAGTCCAGGCCCGGGTAGAGGCTCTCCATCTCGGGCTCCTCCAAGAGGTCCTCTTCGCTCCCCAGGGAGTCTGGCTGCTCTGCCCTGGGGAGGGCCCCCCGCTCTTTCCCGGGCAGCTCCGGGCCCATCCATGGGATGGAGGCAACCAGGGGCCCTTCTGCCTCCTCCTCCTCCTCCCCCTTGCCGTCCAGGGAGCTGCTCTCCCTGGCTGGCGGGGGCCCTTCCCCGCTGGCCTGGCCTGCCCCCCGTTTCCCTCCCTCCGGCCAGCTCTCTTCAGTGCTGAAGCTCCGCTCCGAATAGGCCGAGGCCACGGAGAAGTTCTGGGAGGAAGGGTGGCCGGAGTCGGGGGAGCAGGAGCCAGCCTCGGGGGGGCCCCCATTGGGCAAAGCCGCTTGCCCGCCGGCCTCCAGCTTCCTCTCTGCTTCCGTCTGCTCCAGCTCCTCCACCGACTCAAAGACCTGGCGAAAGGCAAACAGAGCCCACCAACCATGACGCTGCTGCCCTCGGGTTCCTCAGGGGAGCCCGGGCCGGCTGGTGGGGTTTCCCCAAAGGCTCCCCCACTCAGGAGGGGCCCCTCCCTCACCTGCGTGCTGCCGCTGGAGTCGCTCTGCAGCCGGCTGAAGTTCTGGGGGCCAAAACTGCTACTCTGGGAAGACTGCAAGGGGAAGGGGAAGGGGAGGAGGGGGAGGAGGAGGAAGCCTCAGTCGGCTGGGCTCTTCCAGGTGGACAGGCGGAAGACTCAAACAGGAGCCCCCCCCCCCCCTTTCTGGCCTGGCCCATTTCCAAAGGCGGAGCAGGGTAAAGAAGCAGGCCAGGCCAAACCCGCCCATTGCATCCGCTGGCTTAAAGGAGGCGCGTCGGCTGGCAACCCCCTCTGGGAAGAGATGCTCACGCCACTGCTGAGGGTGGAGTCCCGGTGCCTCAGGGGCCCCACGTGGGAGTCCAGGCTGGCCCCCGAGGAGCACTTGGCCAAGGCCGCGGCGTGTGACTCTTTCTCCCGCTGCCGGACGATGGCCTCGCAGCCCAGCCACTCGGCCATGGTTTGCTCGTAGTGGGCCCGGGTCTGTAGGTCCACCTGCCGGCAAGAGAGACGGGGGAAGAGCACGGCAGGAGAGACCCCAAAGACCGCCCCTGGACGGAGAACCAAACGAACGAGGGCTCGGCAGCAGGAGATTCTGCTTGGAAGCCCTTCCACGGACGCCCCACGTCCAAGTTCCCGGGGCCAGAAGGCACACTTGGTTTCCTTCTCAGGAGCACCTCGGAGCCGCAGACGCCTTCAACCAGCCTCACCTCTTTCCTCTCGGCTTCCGACATCCCAAACTGATAGTGTCCCAGCAGGAAGGGCCAGACGGATTTCCGGATCTCATGCTGGACCCCTCCGAAGTAGACCAGCCGAAGCAGCTCCTTCTCCTCGTAGCTCTGCAGGGAAAGGGCCCTTGAAACGGGCTGGAGGGGGGCACGGGGGGGGGGGGGGGGGGGGGTCCAAAGGAGGCATCGCTCTACCGTGCTGTCCTGGAGAAACGTCTCCCAGATCTCTGCCGTCAGCCCCGAGCTGGCATCGCAGGGCACCTCAGGGGACACAATGGCGTGGTTGACCAGCGCCGAGAGGTGCGTCCGGACGGTGGAAAGGTGTCGGCAGTAGGCCAGCCCTGGAACAGAGGATCCAGAAGTAGCAGGAGAGGCTCCCCCAAATGCAAGCAGCTCCCCTCCTAGAGACCCCAGTTCACCCCCACGCAGGGTGCAAAGGCGGCCTTGGACGCCCCCAATTAGACCCAGAGCTGCATTTTCATCGCTCAGGGATCTGGAAGGAAAGCCTGGCTCGGTCCGAGAAATACTCACAGCCGTAAAAGGCCCGAGAGACGATTTGGTACTTCATGTTGTCACAGAGCAGCTTCAGGGGGGCTCTGCCAAGAGAGAGAGGAGGGGGCCGAGCCCCCTTTCTTGAACCGGCCTCTTGAGAGACCGAACTGGAGGGCAAGTGGAGTAGGGGCCGTCTCTCCTTCCGCCCTCCCTTGGTTTTTAAAGGGGCGCTTGCTTCATGGCCTCCTGGAAAGGCCAGGCTGCTCCTCACCTGCCCACCGTCTCCAGGGATTGCAGCCATGCCGTTCCTCGCCTCGCCTCCCCCGGAGCAAAAGGCCCCCAGGCTGCCCAATTCGGGAGCAGAGGCGCCTCGTCCATGTGGCAGGGAAAGGGGACACTTGCAGGCCTTCAGCTCCCCCCATCCCGGGGCGCCCCAGCCCCAGCCCTGAGGCCCCCCTTCACCTTTCATGGTTGCAGCCATTCGACCGGCCGTTCTCGCTGGCTGCCCCCTGGGCGCAAGACGGACAGGAGGCCTTGCGGGCGCTGGGCTGCCACATGGAAGGGAGGGCACTCCCGGGCGCATCCATCAGGTCCTGGGCAGCTGCAAGAGCCGGAATTGGGCTGTTAATATTGTGCCGGGAGGAAGCGGCAGCGCTGTTTCAGGAGCAGAGAAAGGAAGCCAAGAGAAAGGCATCCCTGGGAAGACTGGGGCACCCATCAGGCGAGGCTTTGATCATCATCCAATCATCCCCACCAGGCTTCGGAGGCAAAGTCAGGGAGGGGAGACCAACAGGAGATGCGTCCACCAAGGAAAACACCAGAGAGTAGCAGAGCGCAAGGCTCCCTTCACACCAAGCATCCCACAAGTGTCTCGGCCAGGATCCTGGAACCTGGACCAGCCTTTGCCTCTTCCAGCAACGGCTGCATCCCAGGAGGCCGCCCAGAAGCCCGACTCCAAGGCCCACCACGGCTCTCCGGTCCTCCCGCTCGCTTCTCCTCTTGCAAACCAACCGGGGGCCAGAAGGCAACTTGGATTGGGAGGCTGCTCCTCTCCAAGATTAAGTCCTTCCCCGTTTGGGTGCCGGGAAAGGCATGGGGGGGGGGGGGGGGCTGGGGCAGTTTGCTCTGCTGTGCTTGTCCCCTCAAAGCTTAATGCAGTCTTATTTCTCTGTTACGCTGCACGGACGAAGAAAGGAAGTTTGCGAAGTCGAGAGCTTGGCCTGTGATGGCATCTGGAGCGGGCGAGGAAGCCCCTCCGAGATCACCTTCCCCTGAGCCCATCGCTTTCCCTTCTTCCATCCATCTTCCCGTCTTCATGCCTCAGCTGGCAAATGAGGAGGTGTAATAAGAACGGCAGGAAGACTCATTCCCTCCGATGAGTTGATTAAATCAACACCTTCAGGTGTGCCACAGAGTATAACCACCTTATTTTTCCTAATTCCACTTAATCTATCTGTATCTGAGAAATGTTTTTACCTGTTCTAGTGAAGGCAAATCGAATTGGTTACTTAGATCTCTCCAGTTGCAATATTGCCAGGAATAAAAGGCCCCATTCTGCCTCTTCCTCCCTCTTAGGCTTTCTGTCTCTGAAGCAGGTAGGGTGGGCTGAGGAAGAAAACCCCCCCCCACACACCCATAAAGGGGGCGGAGAGACGGTCCCTGCCTTGCCAAGCCACAGATGCCAACACAGATGCCAAGCTGCCCAGCCTCAAGAGCCCCCTCTGGTGGGTGAATGGAACGTTACAGCTGTGCTGTCTGGACTCAGAGCTGGTGGGGGAAGGGAGCCCCCCCCCCACCTAGGAAGACCCAGGGGCCATTTGGGGATCACCACGACTTTGCCAGAGATCCGGGCCATCCAAGGCGTCTCTTGCCCAGAAGCCCCAGCGTTGGCAGAGGTGGGGGCAAGACAAGAGCTGCTAACCACAGCTGGAGGAGCAGAAAAGGGGAAGTTTAAAAATGGCCCCAACCCATCCTGTCTAAGAAAGAAAAGAAAGACAGACAGACAGACCCACAAAGAGTTTGAACGTTTATCTCAGGGAGCATCCCTTCTTCCCTTTAGCAGGCTCTTGGGGACGGAGGAAGAGGCAAATCTCCGGGAATTATAAGGTCCCCCCCAAAAGACCTGAGCTCTCTTTTCTGACCCTCCCTCCCCACTTCTGTTACCTCCTCAAACTCTCAGCTTCCACAGGTCCCCACTTTTGCAAGGGAACCACCAGTGACTGGGTGAGCTGGATCATGAAATGCCCCTGGGCTGCCCCCCCCCCCACAAGATCCTTCTCGCCCCCCAAAGTTATAGAATGCCCATTTTCTCCCCACTGGCATTCAAGGCCGCTGACAAAATAAACCAGAAATATTTTGCATTGAAATAATAGTAAAAAGGGGTCGCATTTCTGAACCGTGGGGCTGTACGGTATCCCACCATGGGGAAGGAACCTCTGCTGCCCTTACCGAAGTCCTGGAGGCCTGGATAGAGGATCCGGAAGACGTAATCCGTGGCCTCCTCCTCCTCCCTGTCCGAGGAAGGCTCCCAGGGTCCCTGCAGGGTTCGCTTCTTCAGCCTCGGGAACACTTTCCCCTTTGGGAAGCAAAGCACGGAAGCGGAGGCCCCTCAGGGGATCTGGAGCAGCCCCAGGAAAGCAGGGAAACGCTGCAGCCGACGCCTGGAGGCCTCCCCGGGTAGAGCCGCGGCCTCCGGCATTCAGGCGGCCCCGAAGAGGCTTCGGCTGCCGCACCGGCACCTCGGACAACAACAGGCAGGGCAGCCCGTCCAGGCAAGAGGCACTCTGCATCCACCCAGCCCCACCTGCCCAGCCTCACCTTCCCCCTTTGCGACCAGAGGGGGGGGTCCAGCTGGCCGTGGGGCAGCAGGCCATTTTCCAGGCAGGAGAGGAACTGGAGCAGATGCCCACCCTTGGGGAACCTCAGTGGAGGGCGCTGGATGCCATCTTGGCTGACCAGGACAACGGTGCCCCCGCTGTCTACTGTTGGCATGAGGGACAAGGAAGCGTAGGAGGACGCAGGAAGAGGGCAGGCTTGGCCCAAGGGAGCCCAAGAGAAACGGGGCCGCCCCCAGCAGGCCCGGCCTCTCCCCACCCCCAAGCAAAGACAGCAGTGGGCTCCCTGCTCTCCACCCAGGCCCCCTCAGAGCTGCGCGGGGCCAGCTCCAGGCCGGGGCAGCCGCCGCCTTACCCTGCTGGTGGCAGTGAAGGTAGACGATCTCTTCCAGGCGAATGGTCATGGCGTAGTCCCAGTAAACGCTGCAGAGGGAAGACGCACCACCCGGCAAGGGCACCTTAACAGCCACGGCATCTCCCCGCCCCTCCCATGGCTGAAGCATTCCCAGGCCGCGGCTGAGCCGAGGGGGGGAGCCCAAGGCAGGTTCACTCAACCCACGAATTTCTCTCGCACCCAATGCAGGGAAGGGGCCGTGGGGGACCAGCCACCTTTTCTCGTAGTCCAGGTCACCCACAGAGCCGTTCATCAGCTGGTTTGGGGTCCACTTCAGCGTCATCACGTCGGCTGTCTGATGAAGGGATAAATAGCCTGGAATGGCCTCCATGTCGTCTCGCTATCGGGAGGGAAAACAGGAGGCAGAACTGACTTACGACCGGGTTTCCCTAGTGAGTAAATGTTTAGCGTCCAGAAATTGTGCTGCAGCTTCACATTAAATTATAATCGGAAGAAGGTTCTGGAAAACCTGCAACGCTCTTTGGAAAGGATGTTGCCCTCCACCGCTTCTCTTGCCTCTTGCAAAGAGCTGCACACGCAAACATCCGGTCCCCAAAATTGCAGGTGGCCTGGGAGGCACCCAGGGAAGGCAAAGCGCCCACAAGGCCTGCTGGGGGTCAGGCTACTCACCGGCTGCACCAAGACGTTGTTTTTGCCATACAAGAGGGTGGCCCTGGAGTTCTGGTGCAGCGACTCTACGTAATCCCTGGCGGACAAGGAGGGCCGGTCATCCACGCTGCCACTGGAGTGCCTTTTCTGGATCTAGAAACCAAAAGGCCGGGGGGCCGGGGGGAGGTTGCAATCTTGCTTTTCCAAACAATTGGACTGTTCAATTTGGGTGCCCAGATCTAACCACTGACTTTCCCAACTGAGTTGGAATTTTGCTGCTCTCTCTCTCTCTCTCTCTCTCTCTCTCTTTACCCCCTTTTTGCACTTTTCAATCGGGGTGGGGGGTGTCTTGCCTCTTTCCCCCCAGAGGCACCAGGTTCAGGGATGCAGCCCAGCCCGGCTGACCCTCAGCTCCCCTCTGAAACCTACACAGAGTGCAGGGCGCTTGGTGGGCGAGTCTTGCCGGCAATGGGAGCTGTGGATCCGGTGTCTCTGGACCAGCTCGTCTGCTGAGGGATCGGTCCAGAAGTGATCAGCCGTCTTCATCTTAGTGTACTCCAGGGCACAAGGACCCACTACGGGTGCAGAACAAAGGAGGACAGTTTGAGAGAGGGAGGGAGGGAGGGAGACGTTGGGTCTTACGTTCCCCTCCTTCCGCCTTTCCACACCCCAAGACCCTCTGCTTGGGTGTGGACTGCAACCCCCGAATGCCCAGCTGGCCTCCAGCCCCTTACCCAGCAAAGAGGCCAGGATGGGTCCATCAACGGGGTCCATGAGCAAAGCCTCCTTCTCGTAGTATTTGCTGCAGGGAGGGGGAAAGACACCCAGGGCTAAGCAGGCGAGGGGGGAAGAGGAGGCTCCCCAACCGCCACTCTTTCTCCTCCTGTATTCCGCCTATTGCAGAACTTGGGGCTGGTCTGGGCCACCTGGTGAGTCCAAGGGGCCCAACGGCCGAGACGGCGGCAGCAGCGCCCAGGACTGCCAGCCAAGGGCCAGCGCCAGGGCGGAGGAGACCTTCACCTGCTGTTTTCCACCAGGTAGTGCACAATTTTGTCCAGGACCTTCTCAAAAAGCGCCGTCCGGATCCAGAGGTGCTTGACTGCCTGCGGGGAGAGGCTGGGGGGCTTTGGAGCTTTGCGAGCGCTTTCCTGCAAGCTGGAGCCCTGGTTTCGCCTGGAAGGGGGCGAAGAAGGAGGAGCCCCACGTTCACCATCACCGGGGATCACGGCCCTCCCCAAATCAGAGCTTCTATCTTTTGAGAACGTGGGTGTTTTGCCTGTCTGATGCACTCAGGCGCCCCACCAAACCCAAACCGAACCAGACTCTGATGGGAGGCCATTAAGCAACCTCAACCAGTGGGCAAGGCAGGGAATCTGAACCCCAACCCCAGAGGACCCCTTTCCACACACTGGCTGAGAAAGCAGCACCTTCCATGGGGCCCCCAGAAACGGCTCCACTTGCAGAAGACTCCACTTTTCTAAATTACGGTCAAACCAAAGGCAACCTCCCCCCCCCCGCCACCTCACAGGGGTGCAGGAGCTGAGCGGATGGCTTGGCTTAAACTCTAGCTGGGGACACCCCCCACCCCAGGCGGCACTCAGCACCAGCAAGCCAGACGCCATGGAGGGCATACGGCCTAAGCAGGGCGGAGCTGGTCTGACATGAATGCATCTCTTAGCACCGGCCAGGCCCGCAAAGCAGCCAAACCGGACTATTTCCCCAACAGGCTTTCCATGCGCAGCTTCAGCTCACGTGCTCTCGATGAGCTGCTCCAGGGCTTGCACCTTCCGGGAGAGCTCCTCGGCAGGTGGGAAACTCTTGCCCACCTTCATAAACAGGGCAGCCATCTTGTTGCTCCGCAGGAAACCAGCTGCCCGGCGCTTGAGCCCGTGGAGGACGCAGGCTTCGACCGCAGCTGGAAGAAAAAGCCCCAAACCTGAGCAACCCCCCAGGAAGCGAGGCCGAAGGTCCCCGTGCGAAGCTCAGCTGTGCAATGGCCACCTCCACACCATCCTTAGCCAGCCCCTCCCCCAGGAACTGCCTTTTCCCCTGGACAGGCTGGAGACTTCTTGGGTGCACGGACAGCTTCCTCCAAGGAGCCCCCCCCGCCCCCCCTCGTGAAGGTTGTGGATCAAGATTAAGAGCTTGGCTGACCACACCGACATTTCTTAAGGCCTTTGGATGACCCACAAACACACACGGAGACCCACGTTGCTTCTTTCCTCTCCAGCTTCTCCTTTTGGGCACTGTGCCAAGCTGGCTCTCTTGAAGCTGGACATTTCACTATTCAGCGTGGTTAGTGCCTACAGTACTCTTAATTGTAACAATAACTTTTTAAAACTCAGCTTTTGCTTTTAAACTCTGCTCCCTGCGGGCAGAGCGTAAGTCAAATAAATAGGTTCCTTTTCTCGTGCTTTGCTTTGTCCCCGTGGTGCCAGGTACAGGCGGAGACAATGGGCTATTGATTTTCAGGCCAGCCTCCGAGAAGCCAACCATTGGCCTGCAAGGAGCTTGCATGGCAGCCAGCAGCTCAGTAGGCCCACCGACCGGGTGGAGGACACCCCCACCCCCACCCCACCCCCACGTTCCTTGGCGGGAAGGGCAGAAAAGGAGGCCTGGATCGATTCAGCTTACCGCAGAAAGAAATGATATGGCTGCTGTCTTCGTGCACAAACTTCCTTGTGACGGCTTCCTCCATTATTTGCTTGACCTGCAAAAAACAAAGTTCAGCGAAAATGGATAAGTGAAAAGAGATTTCTCTGCCAAGAAAACTCTCGCTGGAAATGCAAGAACAGAGGGGCCTACTGGGCGCCACCCCCACCCTATTTTCCCAACTTGTCATGCTAGCAAAAACAAAGACAAAAACCTCAAGCCCTTTTTTCTCCAGCCAAGTTGAAGCAACAGTCCTGAACAAAAAGGAATTTTCCTGTGGTTCAGGAAGCTCCGAGTCTGAATTAGGGACTTTGGAGACCAGCGACCTCCATGGTTTGCTATCCAAACCCCTTTGTTGCTTTGTGGGGAAAGGACAGCGGGCCCCGAGCGAGCCCCCCTTAGCCAGGCTCACATACTGCAACAAACCAGAGTTGGCTGAATGAATCACAGCTACTAGCATAATGCCACAGTGCGTAAATGATGTTGTGTCATGTGTGGACTCAGCAACACCCCCACTCTCTCCAGGCGTGTTTCAGATGTGGTCCTTGCAAAGAGCGGAAGGGGAGAAAAGTGGGCCGAGAGCAGAACCCAGGACTGTCCCTCCCTTGAGGGCCAGTGGAGGGGCAAAGGGGAGGCGTCCATGTTCCTTGAAGTGACCTTTGCTTTCCGATGGTCTGCAGGATGCAGCTGTGGGGGAGTGCGAAGGACTGGAAGGCTCTCCTGCCTTGGGCAGCCCCAAGTCCCGATTGGCACGCAGAGCCCAGTTGCTCCCCTGTGGCATCGAGTCTGGTCACACGAGCCCAAGGCGGCAGGGAGAGGGGGGCGAGAGAGATGCCGTGTGGGGAAAAGTGACCGGCCAGCCCTCACCCAGTGAAGCCTCATGGGCTCAAGGACAAAGCCAGGAGTGCAAACAGCAGTTTCACTACCGCCTGGCTGGAATCAAGCCCCTCCGGAAGGGTTCTGCAGCCGCCCCTCCCCCTCCCCTTGAAAAAAATAACCGGCCATTTATTCCGGGCACAGCATCCCTTCCCGTTGCTATGGCAACCTTAGCGAAAGGGAGGGGCAGTCTGCATCCCACGGGCAGCCCCTCCCTGAGGCCAGGACCCTCATCTCCGGCCGAATCCTCCGTCTGTTCCACCTGAAGGGGGGGGGGGCAGGGCAGGAGAGACGGGGCAAAAGGAGGGGGAGGAGGAGGAGGAGGAGGAGGCGGCTATCACGTTCAGGCCAGGCACGAAGCCACACGGGAGAGCCCCATGCTTCAGATCAGAGAGCGATGCGGCAGGGCGGCCAGGCTCCTGGTTCCAGCCTCAGGCTGACCCCCCCCTCCCCCCAAACCGATCCCATTCCCAGTCGAGTGGCCGGAGTTTCCTCCCTCCTGCCCAAAGGCCAATGGCTGCTGGGCAGGGGAGGCAGCATGAGGACCGAGAGAGCTGTGGGTTTCTTCCAGCTTCCTTAAGAGGAAGGAATTGGCCCCCCGTGAGACCCTCCCTGCAGAAAAGCCCCCAGGGCACTTCAGGGCCCTTGTGCACTCAGGAGCTGCCTCTCAGAGAGAGAACGGCAGCCCAGCTGGGACAGTCCTTCGGTTCACTTCTCCAAATGCCTTGCTAGGCCCTTCATGCAGTACATTTGGGGCCTCTCCCAGCCCTGGTGCCCATCGGCTAAGCAGGCGGAGACTTGCTTGCCCATCTCCCAGAGCGGCACCTCCGTCCTGCCGAGACAACCTTAAATCTTGCCGGGGAGGTTTGGCCACATTCCCCAGCGGGCTCTGCTCTGGACTCCCTCGTAAAAGGGACACCGGAACGAGGTTGCGAGATCTCGGCCTGGGCCTCCCTGCCCCATCAACACTTCTGCCTTTTAGGAAAGGAAACACCTCCCGGAGGGAGGGAGGTGGTCTGGTTTGGGGAAGGACCCCTGCAGCCCAGGGGCACCAGTGGCCGACAGCCCCCCTCCTGTGGCCCCAGGATGGGCAAGAGCAAATGTCTGAGCCCCTCTTTCCCCCCTTTGGGGGGACGGGGGCAATTTTAAGAGCTTGACCTAGGCTGCTTTCAGAAGCCACGACCCGTTTTGAAGGAAGCGGCTAGGACCCTCCTTAAACCGGAGACGCTGATCTGCTGCGCGCAAGACACGCAACGTTGGGCCAGGAGAGATGAACCGAAAGCAGCTAAGCAGGTGGAGCTCTGAACTCCAGGCTCGCAGCACAGCAGGAAACGTCAGCCAAGCTCCGTGGGTGTTGAGCCTAGCCAGCCCCAAAGGCTGATCTTCAGCGGGACTCTTCTCCCAGCCGCTCGCTGTCCCGGCTAACAAATGGCCTGCTTATGCCACCCCCTTTCAAGCCTGCCTGCCATAAGCTGTCATCAGCCTGCACCGCCAATATCCTGCAGGAGCAATCCAAAAGGGATCCTTTTGCAGACGAAGGGCCTAGCGGGATCCTTTGAATTGGAAAAAAACAAAATGGGGAAAGAAAGGAAGTGAACAGCACCTGCACTATTCCCAGCCTTGAGTCGCCCTTTGCTCTGCATCACACAGCAGAAAATCGGCCGAGGAACAAGTGAAGGGCAGAGCTGAACTTAGGAGACCCTGGATGGGTTGCGGGAGAAGTTCCTGTGTTTGGCATGAAACGGCTGCTCAGAATCGCGGCACCCAAAGGTTCGAAGCCCTTCCCTCCTTCCAGCTGTCAGAGAGGGGGAGGAGCCGGTCCAGGGCCTCCAGCCTTCTCACACCCACAAATGACTAGGTTTGGGGGGGCACTCCTGGGTGCAAGGGGGGGCTGCCTGACGTCACTCAGCTTGACGTGATTCTCCTCTCAGAATCACAGAATTCTGCACACGCTTGCAGAGTGTGACGCACGGCTCCAGGTGCCCCCCCCCCCCCCTCCGAGGGTTGCGCTTGCTGGCACTCAGGCCCCTGGATTGTTTCGTGTGCCTGGTGCTGACTCGTTAGAAGGCGGCCGTTCCCATGGAAACAAGCTGACATGATCAACCCAGAAGCTGCACTACCGGGCAAGGATGGGAAGGAGAACCAGGGAGACGGGACTCTCTCCCCAAATGCCTGCAGGCCCCACGCTGGGGGAGGCCTTTCTGCCCGAGCGGGCTCCCTCCTCCAGCAGAAGGCCAAGGCTCTCCCCTTCAGCAGCCCCTGGTCCTCGCCACAGGGAGGCGGGAACCTCAACCGCCTCTCCATCCAAGGAAACAGACCTCGCGGAACACGCCACAATGATGGCCCACGAGACAAAGGACCTCTCCGCACTAAGGTGGCCTCCAAAGTGCTCTGGGGAAACAGCAGGACGTGTGGTAAGGCTGTAAATTAGTAGCAGAGATGCCATTCCATGAGTTGGTGCCCTGCTCAAGGACGATAATCCAAAGAGAGGCCATGGCCGGATTCTAATAGCATTGACCTCCTGCAGCTTTAGAAGAACTAAAAATGTAAACATTTGTAAACTGGTATCCAGCTAAAATCATTGCGGGTTCAATGACGCTTCATCAGTGGCTCAAATAAACTCGCAGCCCCAATCATGTCCAGTATTCTGCCAGCTCTGCCAACAGTCCCCCTGAAGCTCGGCTGGCAGCCCCCGCAAGGAGCCCTGGGCAGCCAATGAGCTGGAGGGGCTGCGCTGGCAATTCATCCCCCTCAAGCCCACAATTCAAGCGGACGAACAGACGGTATCAATGGCTGCAGACCAACTGCCAGGCCATCAATCACACCCCAGAAAGGGGATGCCAAGAATAGGCCTCAAGAGCAGGCACAATGTGCCCGGTTCATCATTCAGGAATAAAACGAAGGGCAGCTCCTGGCTGGCAGGCCAGTGAATTAAAAGATGTTTAGTTAAAAGGAGGCGGCAGAATCAGCCTGGCCAGCGCTGCTGGGAAGCCCGCCCACCCCAGGACCACCAATGGGCAAACTTGGCACAGGGCGGAAGCGGGAGAGAGTTGGCAACCCGGGGAATTTTGGTCCAAACCCTTTTTTAAAACTTGAAACCAGTATTTATCATGGCGGAAACAGTTCCGGTCATGAGCCCCCTTGTCCCTCCAAAACCTGCCCCCCCCCAGGGACGCTGCCAGGGGGGCAGCCCGACGCCTCCTGCCTTGCCCTGAAGGCCACCGCGGGGAGGGGGACGCGAGCTCGGCCGGGACCCTTAACCAAAGCTCCCCAGGCCCCGGGCCCTCGCTGGGGGAGAGCCGCCTTGGCCCTGGGGGGCTTCCGTGCCCCTCCGCGGAAGGACCGCTGAGCCCCCGGCCACCAGGTGGCTCTGCTCGGGCAGCCCGGCCCGGGAGGCGCTCCGCTTACGCAACGGAGCCCCAGCCGCGGCAGCGGGGCCGGCCGGGAGGAGGCCGCTCGGGTGGGCTTCTCCGGCGCCCGGACTCACCTCCTTCTTGGCGGTGCGCAGGAGGCGCTGCCGGGTCTCGGCCTCGGCGGGCAGCAGCAGCAGCGAGGCGGGCGCCAGCGAGCGCAGGGCAGACGAGCCCCCGGACGGAGCCCCCGGAGGCCGCCGCCCGGAGCCCAGCGCCGGGGCCGCCGCCATCCTGCCCGTCCCTCCGCTGGCTGGCTGGCCGCGGGGAAGCAGCTGGGAGGCCGGGCGAGGCCAGGCAACGCCCCGCCGCCTCCGCCGCTACGCGCACCGGGCTGGGCAGCAGCAGCAGCAGCAGCAGGAGGAGGAGGAGGAGGAGGACCCTGGAGCCCCTCCCTCTTCCTCCTCGCCCGCCCCAGCTGGCCGCGCCTCCGGCTGGCAGCGGCTCCCCAGTCCCGCGGGCGGCGGAAGTGCCTCCTCCTCCTCCTCCTCCTCCTCCTCGGGGCCCAAGGGGTGGGGCTCCTTCCCTCTTCACAACGGCCCTGCGGGGCTGGTTAGGCGAGAGGAACGGCGCCAAGATGGAGGGTCCCTGCACCACCGCCGCCCCACACAGGGGGGGGGGGGGCACTAAGCCATGGCTCGTTTAATTGGGGCCTGTGGAATAAACTGAGCAAGTTTCTCCTGGGTCCTGAAAGGCCCCAAAGTCTATTTCAAGGCGAGCCTCCTCTTGCCTCCCAAGACTGGAGGGGGAGGGGCTGCCAGGCTCCTTCACTTGGAGCAGCTGCCCTCCCCCTCTTTTCTCTGCCCGATTCTGGGGGAGACCCCAGGCACCGGACGGGCAGTGCTGCTGGGCAGGGCAGGGGGGCGCCTTTCTCCAGGTGGAAGGGCCTGAGAGCAAATGCCAAACTCGACCCTCCAGCAGGTACCGTCAGAACAGGCCAGGCATATCTGTGTCCCCCTCCCCCGGGGGAGGGGGGGGTGAAGGAGATTGGGGCTTTCTTGCCCTTTGCCCTTCCCAGCTTGAGTTGCCCAGCACCCCCCCACCCCACCCCACCCCTCCCCTCCCCTCCCTCCTCCCAGGCAAATGCGCATCAGCTTGGCCACACCTGTCAAGCCCATCGCTTTGCGTGAAGGAAGCCTCTGCCATCCAGGCCGGTTGGACTGAAAGGGAGCCTGGCTGGCTCCGGCCTGGGCGCAGGCTGACCAGGGCAGAGCGGTCCAAGGGCCGCCGGGGGCTTCATGCTCAGTGGAATCAGGCTGAGCCTAGCAAGGGGGAAGAGGACCTGCCCCCCACCGCCTGCCCCCCTGACTGACAGGTTCGTAAATGGAGCTGTCGAGGCTGAAGGGAGATGTGAACATCCAGCTGACAGGTGGCAGAGGAGAAGGGGAGGCAGCCACCCAGGCGTGGCTGAATGGCCGGCTGCTGCCCAGGCGTGAAAAGGTGTGGTGTGCACCAGAGCAGAGAGCCCCGGGCACCTCAGGAATCGACCCACCTCTCGGGGGGGGGGGGGCTTCTTCCCGGTCTGGTCCAGGGCCGCCAGAGAGCGAGGAAGCTGGTGCCTTGGCCTCCCCTTGGCCGGCCGTCTCCAGGTGTTTCTCCCCGGCTTCCGGATCCCCAGCGGGGCAACGGGAGGGTCAGTGCAGGTGAAAGAGGAACTCATCCGGGCTTCCCCACAGGAGTTGTGGCCTCCATCACTGGAGGCTTTGAAGAGGCTGGGCAGCCACTTGCCCCAAATGGCACAGGGTCTCCCACTTAGCAGGGGGCTGGACTAGAAGACCTCCAAGGTCCCTTCCAATTCTGTTATTCTGAGAAAGAGAAAGCAAACCCTCCTCCCATGTTCCCCTCCTGGCAATTCCCAAATCCCTGCTGGGCCAGGATGGGACCCTGCTCTGGGCTGCCAGAGATGCCCCATTCTGTCCCTGGCAGGGGCCGACCAGGTTCTCCTGGCTCCTGCACCCGAGCTACGCCAGGGACCGAGAAGGGTGGAGAAGCCCAGCGGAAGCCCTACAGCTTGGAGGGGCTCAGGCGGTGGGGCTGAAAGGGAACTCCCACGCTGGGCAGGCCCCACAGCTGCCCCAGGCCTCTCGCCCAGAAGAAGGAAAGGTCACCTGCTGTTTTTCCCTGCAAACCCTGGACGGAGGCTGTGCAGCTGGTGGGTATGGGCAGACCCAGCCCCCCCACCCCCCCGTGCCTCTCTTTCTCCTGAAGCCAGACAAGGCCAGGCACGGGGGGTGGGGGGGGCTCCTCCTCTGTCTCCTCCCCCCCCGCCCTTCTCCCTTTGAAGTGAGCAAACCTTCCTAGCGCCTACTGCACTGACCCTCCTCCTGGGTGCGCCTGCCCTCCGCCAACTTCTGCAGCCCAGACCCTGCTGGGGTGTTGTGGAAGATGTCCGCTTCTCCCAGGCCGGCTGGCTCCGAGACCCCCCAGGCTGGCTCTCTGCTTGGCCAGAGGGACCCCCGGGACACTTGGAGCAAAAAGGCGGATTTCCTTCTGTCCGTGGTAGGATTTGCCGTCGATCTGGGCAACATCTGGCGCTTTCCCTACATCTGCTACCAGAACGGAGGGGGTAAGGAGGCGGGTCATGAGTGGGCACAGATTTGGGGCAGAGGTGAACTTTCCACCCAAGCAAGGAGCCCCTTATAATTCTGGGTAAGGGTCTCTCTGATTCTGTTCCCTCCAAGAGGTCACCGTCTTCTCCACCAGTGCAATTTGGAAGACTGGACTTTAGAACGGGGAAGAAAGACCCAGAAAAATAGGGGGTCCCGTTGAAATCCTAAACATGAAAGTGTCCACGTAGCTTTATTGGGGAGGTTTGCCATTGTAAGAAGGTTCTTCCATTTTCCTGGAGGGTTTCTTGGGTCTAACTCAGACAATATTTCAGTCTCAGGGTAACGGTACCAATAGCTGCCATGAAGGCTTTCTCTCTTTTGGAAATGGGGAACTGTCCATGGTATTTATTTTCAGCCTCACTGAAATGCATTGCACAAAGACACACAAAAATGCGGGTGGCCAATACAGTTTCTCTTTGGCCCCATTGGAAAAATATGATAAAATCTGAAACACGGCACTGCTTGAATGCAGAACAACCTAAATGTGGTAAAATTGCAAACCATTTTTACCATTACTTGTGGCAATATGGACTTAATTTATAATACCAAACTTTAGCGATTGGCAAGTTGCTGCTTTCTTTTTCCCTCTAATTCCTTTTTATATTTCTGCCCTTTTTACCAGCAACTTGGGATTTTTGTGAAGTAAAATCTATACAAATGATCAGAGGAAAACTACTTAAAAGGAGAATACAAATAAATCAATAAATAAAAGTCAGGCAAGGGAGAAACAAATGAATCAGACACTGTTGGACTCTCTATCCAAATTGTTAAATATTTCCTTTAGATTTAAAAAAAAAATTCTGGAAAAGTATAAGAAAAGTGACCAAATGCCCTTCTTAAATGTGTGTGTGTGGGGGGGTGGGAGTCTGAATTGCAATTTCCAGCTCACTTATGGGACTTGCTGGGTGCCGTTTGGAGCCCATTTTATTCCGGGCGGAGAATAATCCTGCCTGGAGATCTGCGTATTTTCAAACGTTTTTCCAGGACACGAGGGGCTCTTCCCCTTTCCCACGTGCCTGTGCTTTTCAGCCTGCATTCTTATCCATTTAGCTTGCACCCGTTGCCTGTTTTCCCTTGGACACATTGGTGTCACGATTGTGCATGTTTCTAGACCACATGAATGCAGAGAAATCGGGGGATAGTTTGAGTCTCTTCAATTGTGGCAAGCGGCAGCTGGAAGGCTTTAAGAAAAAGGGGGGGGGGTTGGGGAGGAACTGGTGGGGAGCAAACCATGTCCCCCCCCCTCACCACTTCTTTAAAACATACGGAAGGGAGTTGCTATGCACATCGCCAGGAGAAGCCAGGCAGCCTCGGGAAGCCTCTGAATGTGATGGTTAATTGAAGCGGCCTTTCCCCAAAGGAGGGTGTGTGTGTGTGTGTGTGAGAGAGGGGGGGGGGAGCAGGAGAGAACCCCGAAGCCTTATCCCCCGTGCCCCTTTGCTGCCCCAGGAGCTTTCCTCATCCCCTACATGCTGATGGCCGTCTTCGGAGGGGTGCCCCTTTTCTACATGGAGCTGGCGCTGGGGCAATTCCATCGGGTCGGAGCCATACCCATCTGGAAGTACATCTGCCCCATCTTTAAAGGTACCTGGCCAGCCAAACAGCAGACGGGGGAGGGGGGCACCTGCACATCTGTCTAAAAGGTTAGGATTCCTCAAAGTGAGTGGGGGGGGGCTTTCCTCCCCCTTGGGGGAAAATGCTTTCCCGGGACAGGACGGGGGGGGGGGGGGGGGCGCCGGGAGGGGCGCCTGGAGGGCTTGAGGGAAGCCGAAGCCAGGCTTCCGCTTCCGCCAGGTACCTGGGGGCGAGGAGGGTCTGGGGGCCGCCTCCGCCTGCCCGTCTCCTCCCCCCGCAGGCATCGGCTTCTCCATCTGCGTGATCAACCTGTACGTGGCCTTCTACTACAACACCATCATTGCTTGGGCCCTCTTCTACTTCTGCTCCTCCTTCGCCCGCACGCTGCCCTGGGCCAGCTGCAGCAACCCCTGGAACACCCCCAGCTGCCTCAGCTACTTCGAGGCCGGCAACGTCTCCTGGACCAACCTCTCCAAGTCCCCCGCCGAGGAGTTTTACATGTAAGGGCGGGGGCGGGGGGAGGTCAGCAGCCCTGGCAGGGGCCAACGGTCTTTGGGAGCAGCGCCAGGGCTGGTTCTTTAGGTGGCGCTGCTGGCACAGCATGAGCCAAGGCAGGGGGCATGTGGCTTTGGGGTCTCTCGGGCATCGGGATGGAATTGTCCACGTGGGCAAATTCTGCTGGAATTCCTCCTGGGAACCTTGGCCAGCCGGCGATGGCGCTTCATTCCCGCTCTGATCGAGAGCTTCTCTCGGTCGCAGGAGGCATGTCCTGCAGGTGCAGAATTCGCATGGACTGTCTGACGTGGGCGAGATCCGTTGGCAGCTGCTGCTCTGCCTCTTCCTCATCTTCACCACTGTCTACTTCAGCCTCTGGAAAGGGATCAAGACCTCGGGGAAGGTACAGGCTGCGTGGGAGCCTCCGCCTCTTTCCTGCAGCAAGGAATGGGGCCCTGAGGCCACCTCCTCCTCCAGGGGACCCTGGGGGCCAGACCCCATGCCCACACCACCCCTCCTGTGGCTGCAGGAGTGGGCAGGGGGCACCAACCCTTCAGGTCTTTTTCAGGGAGAAGGCAGAGGGGGAAGCAAGGCCTCTCCTGGGATTGGCCCCAGCCCTGCAGCCCCTCACAGCCTGGTTCTCCCTCCAGGTGGTCTGGGTGACAGCCACCCTGCCCTACGTTGTCTTGCTCATCCTGCTGATCCGTGGGGCAACCCTCCCGGGGGCCTGGAGGGGGATTGTCTTCTACCTGCAACCCGACTGGCAGAAGCTGAGGAGCGTGGCCGTACGTTGCTGCATGCAGCTCTTTGTAATTGCCAGCTTCTTCCTTCCAGGCTGGAATTCAACAGGGGCTGTGCTAGAGAAGGTGGCAAAAGGACCCAGGGCTGGAGGCTGGGAGGGGGCTCGCAAAAGGGGCCTCTATCCGGCCATCATGCAGGACAGAAACCCCGAGGGCCCCACATTTCAGAGTTGTGGCTTTTCCCAGCTAGAGATGCGGGGGGGGGGGTGCGGGGGGAATCACTTACGCCACATGGGGAAGCTGACCCAGAGCAGCGGGGAGCCCCTGCGAGCTCATCTGGCCCCGCAGTGGCCCTTCTCCAGTCCCACACGATGCTGGCTTTTCTGCAGGGATCAGAAGGAAGCCTTCGCTCTCCCAGATTCCCTGCCTTTCGGGCCTTTTCAGGTGCCCCCCCCCCCCCCGGGAAGGACTTGCTGGGCCCTCTGTGTGAAGGGCCACCTTCTGAAAGGGCCACTTGCTCGGGCTCTGCTCCCCCCCCCCGTGACTCCCCCCTCCACTCTTCCCTCTCCTGCGGATCCACAAGAGGCCCCCAATCTGGCCACCCCCCTCTCCCTGGAGAAGATCAGAAGGCCAGTGGGGGGTGGGGGGGCTGTTCTTTCCCTTGCTATTCTTTGGCACCCTTAGAAATGCAAATCAGGAATTGAATCACGCATGTCATTTGCTGTCCGAATTGATCAGGGCTGCGCCGAATGGACAATGGACTTCCTGCCCATAATTACCTCTCCTAACAAACCGATGAATTTTCATGAACGCTGGGGGGGGGGGGGGGGCGGGGAGAGGAGAGACTGGCCAGAACCTACAAGGGGCTTCCTTGGTGCCCTTCTTCCACCTAACACACCTGTCCAAGGGCAGCACCGGCCTTGCAGGAATCCATGCCAGCAAGAATACGGGCTTCTTCCACCAAACGTGACCTTATGCCTCCTCAGCTGCCTCCACTGTGCCTTCCTCTGCTCAGGTGTGGGTGGATGCAGCGGCCCAGGTCTTCTTCTCCCTGGGGCCAGGATTCGGGGTCCTCCTTGCCTTGGCCAGTTACAACCCGTTCAACAACAACTGTTACCGGTGAGGCTTCGAGGCCAAGCAGCTCTCCCCTCTCCTCTTGACCGCTCTGTTGGGTGGCTGCGCATGCTGGTCGGGGAGCAGCCTAAGCAGGCTTTCCAGTATGCCAGGCAAGCCTTTGCCAGCTGGGAGCCCCACAAGGCTGGGTTGGAGGCAAATGGCCACGCGGGGTTGCAGAAGAGGGCAGCGAGGGGATCCCGGCTATCAGCCAGCTGCCTTCTTTCTCTCAGAGGTTGGCACAATCCTCCTCTTCTCCTGGCACATCTGTCAGGGGGGTGGGGGGAGTCAGGGCTCTGTCGCTCCTTTCCAGAGATGCCATCGTGACCAGCCTGGTCAACTGCTTCACCAGCTTCCTCTCGGGATTTGTCATTTTCACCGTCCTGGGCTACATGGCTGAAATGCGGCACATGGATGTTGCGGAGGTGGCAAAGGGCAAGGGTATGTGATCGCCTCTGGTGGGCCTCAGCCAAAGGAGGCTGCAACAACTTCCTCCCCAGTGAGCCTCGTCTTTCCCTAACGCCGTCGCTCTGAGGAGAAGCCGGTGAGAGGAGAACTGAACCAGACGTGATTGGATTCAAGGAACAGGGCCCCCTCGGCGGCAAGGTCTCTCTGCCTTACATCTGGCTCCCTATTTGGGAGAAGGCCAGCCCTGTAACTCGGTCACTTTCCTGCCAGCAAGCAGGTTCTGCTTGGTCCCCACCTACCCAAGAGTCATTTTGGGGGCGATGGGTGGCAGGGGAGGCCGTAGAAAGCTCTCAAGGGAGAGAGAGAGTGCTGGCCCATCGGCCACGGGCAGAATCAAACCTGCCTGTGGTGCCATCCCAAGGGTCTCTTCCAGGGCCCAGCCTCCTCTTCATTACGTACCCGGAAGCCCTTGCCAACATGACCGGATCCTCCTTCTTCGCCATCCTCTTCTTCCTCATGATGGTCACACTGGGACTGGACAGCACAGTAAGGCCAGTTCCGTTCTGCGTTGGGAGGAGACCCTCTGGGCTGCCCTCCTGCAAGTGGGTGGGCTCCGTGTTACATGCTCTGTGGAGGCGGCTTCCTTATCTACCTTTAGAGGAGAGGCCCCAGGTGGAAATATTTCCAAGGCAGAAACTGTGGGGAAAACCTCCCAAGCGACCTGCCAGGATCCCTTTTCAAGGAACAGTTCAACACCCACCCACCCCCGGCAACCTTTCCGAAGGGCAGAATTGCTCCGAAGTGGACGGAGCAGCCCTGCATGTCCAGACCCCCCCAACAGTCTCCAGGGCTCAACCTCTGCCTCAGACTGGGTTTTCCGGGGGGGGGCGGGGGGGTGTTTGCAGTTTGGGGGCCTGGAAGCTGTGATCACTGCCCTGATGGACGAGTACCCCCAGGCGCTGGGCAAGCACCGTCAGCTGTTCGTGCTGGGACTCATCGCCCTCTGCTTCCTGGGCTCCCTGGCCACGCTGACCAATGTGAGTTCTGGGGAGAGTGGGTGTTCCTTGACCCCTTGATCACAGGGCCAGGCAGCACCTCTCGGGTTAATGCAGAAGAAAGGCCAGCTGGGATACTGGAGGACCCTGAAACGGCCGTAACTCTTCTCCTGCGTGGATTTGCAAGGAAGAGACCCTACTAGAACTGGCCCGCAAAGGGCAGAGTGACCCCAGAAGGCCAATCCCTGCAGTGTGGCATTGTCCACCTTCAAGGGCTGCTCCCAACCCAGCCTTTCTGGGGGATTGCAGCCTCTCAGAGCCTCCCCGTCCCCTCCCGGGTTCACAGCAGGCTCTCTACTGGTGTTCCCATCCAGGGAGGCCCCTACATTGTGAAACTCCTGGAAGAGTTTGGGGCTGGTTGCTCCATCTTAGCTGTGGTGTTCCTGGAAGCCATCGCCGTCTCCTGGTTCTACGGTGAGGAGGAAAGAGGCATTGTGGCCCCTGGGGGCCGGGGGGGATGGGATGGGAGGAACAGAGAGCCTCTACAGGGCCTCCAGTGCCACCTTCCGAGGCCAGCTTGAGGCACCTTGTAGAGTGACTGTCCCTGTACAGGTCTCCTTCAGGGAACCCCCCCCCCCCCCGCATCTGCTCTGCAAACCTTCCTTGGGCCTTTGAAGCCCCCTTTGGCTCTGAGTGTTTCTCCCCCAGGCTGTCCAGGGAGGGGGCTCAGCTCCTCAAGGGTCACTCAGGTAGACTGAAAGGTTTGGGCTTTGAGTGACGGATGGACGCCTTGGACTTCCTTCCTAGGAATGCAGCAGTTCTGTAGCGACGTGAGGGCCATGCTGGGCTTTGGGCCCGGACTGTACTGGCAAGTGTGCTGGAGAGTGGTCAGTCCAGCCACCTTAGCGGTGCGTAACGGATCCTTCCTCCACCAGTGCTTCTTCGGTCACTGACTGGGGTTGGAATGGACGCAGGGGGGGCTTTTGACTGAACATCCCCCAAATGGGGGGGACGACTGCCGAGTGGGGGAGCAGGAGGAAAGAAAGGCCTGGTTACGGGTAAGCCGGCTTGCCCCATGAATTAGGAACTGAAACATGACCCTCAAGGAAGGTTCTGTTCCGAAGGCCTTCGGAGCCTTTTTGGCCCGGCCTGGCTCTAGAGAGCTTGGATTCCTAACTTCCCCCTCCCCCGCCGGTTTCCCCCGACAACACCAGTGTTCAAAGGAGCCAGATTTGTGGGTCACAGCCCTCCTGGGGACCCGACTGGGGCATTTCCGGCCCAAAGGGGTACGGATGCTCCAGTTCGTAAATGGGGAGGTTAAATTTGTTCGGCTTGTCAGATGTACCCCTAGGGCCACAGCCGCCCCCCCACATAGTTACTGCCCGGTACAAGGGTCCCCTTGGGGTGGAAAGGAAGAATTTTATGCCGGGGGGATGTCCTAAAGCAGAGAAGCTGGGGAGGGGCCAGTGGGGGCGGCTGGGCATTCTGCCAGACCTGACTTGGCCCTTCTCCTTGGTTCCTGCCCAGTTCATCCTCCTCAGCTCCCTCCTGGACCAGCCCCCCCTCGTGCTCTTCGACTACGAGTATCCCGCGTGGAGCATCCGGCTGGGACACCTGATCGGGGCCTCCTCCTTCCTCTGCATTCCCACCTACATGGTCTACAAGCTGGTCTGGACCCCCGGATCTCTGAAGCAGGTCAGGGAAAGGGGATCCCCACCACTTCATTGGGCGGGGGAGGGGGGTTTCCCTGTCCATCCCCTAACACTCACCCCTCCCCCCCCCCCCCCCCCCCCCCCCCCCCCCCCGCCTTCTCCATGTCTCCTGTGCACAGCAGGCCTTGGGGGCCTTGGGAGGGGATCAGTTCGTTGGCGGCCTCTGCTCTGCAGGCGCTGCCACCCGAGGCGGGGCTGGCTCTTTCCCCGAAGGGCTCCGAGACCAGCCGGGAGGCGCCCCGACTCCTGCTTCTCTCCCGGCGTCCCAAAAAGAGCGGCGAGGAAACCGCGCCTCTGCTGGGCTGGGCCGCCCCGTTGGCTTCCCGCCCGCCCCGCCGTCTCCCCCAAGGGAGCCCCGGACGAGCCCCAAGAAAAATCCCGTCCGCCTAATAATGCATCAGGCTAAGGACTCGCCAAGCGCCCCCCCTCCACCCGCTGCGACCAGCACCGGGGAGGGGGGTGTCGCATGGCAGTCCCGCCCCTTCCGTGCGGGGGTGGGCGGGCGCTCTGCACATGTTCAGAGGCCCTTGGACGCCGGGTTGCGAGCTCCTCTCTTCGGCCTCCGCTGGCGCGAGGATGCTGCGGAGCCTCCGGGGAGCCGCCCTGCTGCTGCCGCCGCTGCCGGTCGCGTTGGGCGAGGCCGGGGCGGCGGCGGCGGCGAGCGGGCAGCAGCGTCCCTTTGCCGTCCTGCGGCGGCAGAACCTGGGTAAGGAGCGGCCGGGTGGGGGCGGTCCTGCTCCGTGGGGGCCGCGGGGGTCTCGGAGCTGCCCCGCTCAGCCCGCCTGCAGCCCCCACCCCCCCTTGCCGGCGCCCGCTGACCGGCCGCCTTTTCTCCCCGGCAGCTCTGCTGGGCAGCGTCTTCGGCCTCCTGCTGCTCGCCGCCGTCCTGCTGGCCGTCTGCGTCTATCGGCCGCTTCGCCGCAGGTAGCCGGGAGTGCGACCGGCGGGGCCCGGCGCTCCCCCCGCTGGGCTGGACGAGATCGGGACCCCCGGCCATTCGCCCGACCGAAGCGAAGGAAGGACTGGCCAGGCCGCCCGCTGCCTTCAGTCCGATGCAGAGCGGATCGGCAACAGCCAAGGGTTGCGGACCCCTGCTCGGCCAGAGCCCCCAGTCCGGCACTGGGGCAGCCTCCCTTCAGCCGCCCAATGGCCAAGAGCCCCTCCCGGTGGTGACCCTTCCCTCAGGGGAGCCCCAGGCGGCCTGACCTCCGCGTGGCCCGCGTGGCTGCTGGCATTCCTGGTGGGATTCGGTGCTTTCCCTTTGTGTCCTAACGGGGCTTTTCCGGTGTGTTTCCGCTCCTTCGGTCCGTAATAAAACTGCTGTCAGTGTGCTTTTGCTTGGCTGATCTCTCTTCTCTGGGGGAGGGGGGGGTCCCCGAGGCCTTATCTCAGCCAGCGGGACCACCTAAACAATATTGCCCTGCGTCAAAGGGATTCTCTGATCCTGTAGTCAATTGCACCATCCTAAAATTGCAGCTTGACCGAAGAGGCTCCAGTCTTTGCAGTTTTCCTTTACTAACTTTATAGAGGCCTTTTGAAGTCTTTTCCCTGCTCTCAGAAGAAGCCGCCTTTTTCCTTCAGCCTACAGAGCGCCCCCCCCACCACCACCTCTTTTTCAGCTAAGGAACTCAGCCAAGACTGGAGTTGCCCCCACTTTATTTAAAAACACCCCCCACCCACCCCAGATTGGCTAGGAGGAGCACCAGCAGGAGAGGCTTGGGAAGGCTACGGAGACACAGAAGCGGCCAGAGGAGTCCAACGGGAAAGCACTCTGGCGCAGGCAGGTGGTGGGTGAGGCACACGGGCCCTAAGAGACACCTGGCAGCTGCTGAAATCTTTGGAAGGTGAGGAGCCGAGTCCGAGGAAGCCCCTCCCTTGGCTCAGGTTGTTACCCACTGCCGCCCCCTCTGTGAGGCTGGCGAGAGCCTGGCACCCCTTCAGAACGGGCTTTGGCAGAGGCTGGGGTGCCCCCTTCGGCGGAACCGCCGAGCGCAGAGGAAGGCGGGCAGATCTTTGGGCTCAAAGCTTTGGCGAGTGAGCGGAAGAGCCCCCCCCCATCCGAAGGGGGCCGGGCCTGTCCTCTACGTCCATCGCGTCACGCTGCTACTTTTCCAGCAGGGAGCGCTGGAGCGCCTCCTTCAGCTCCTCCTCCTCCTCCGCCTGCCTCCGCTGCTCCTCCTCCTGCTGCTCCTGAAGGGAGAGCGCCATGGCCAGCTGCAGCTCCCGGTCGAAGGTGGAAGAGCTGCGCAGGGTGGGGTTGATCCCGCCGCTCGCCAGGAGGCTCTCCTGCAGGGCCCTGCGTGCAGGAGGAGAGAAGCGCTTTCTGGCGGGCCGGATAGGATATGCCCCTAGCCGGGGGTCTGCCAGAGCAGGGGGCTCCAAGCCTGGCAGCTTTCAGGCTTAGGGGCAGGGTCTTTCCCCCCCCCCACGGGTGTTCAGAGGACGAAAGCCAGCCTGGGCAGCCGCCAAGAGGCTCTGCCAGCAGGGGGAAGTGGGCAAGCCGGGCTGAAGCCGGGGGGAGGGTCTCGGCTCCACTCCGCCCCCAAGGGCCTGGGGTGGCCTTGCTGGCAGAGGTGCAGCCCCCTCCCTGGAACCCTAGGGAGGAAGAACCCGAGGGCCCCAGCCCCCTCCGGCTCTGGCCCTTACCTCTGATATCGCAGGTGGAGGTCCTGGGAGTAGGAGACGTCCCCGTTCACAGGTGGCCCCAGAGGCTCCTGGGAAGGCACAGAGGTGACTGGGGGCTCCTCCTCCCACCCCCTGCAGTCCAGCCCCTCAACCCGCCTGTGGTCCTAGCTCTGAAAGACAGCCCAAGGTGGGTGCCTCGGCCCAACGGGGAGGCCGCGGGGCAGCCTGGTGGGCCGCACTCTTGGCCCTGTGGGGGAAGGGACCAAAGCCCACCTGGCTGCGGCCGGACTCCATCAGGCTCTGCTGGATAGCAAACTGCATGATTTCGTTGTCCTCGTCCTGCACGTGCAGGTTCCGCCCATCGTCTTGGACCCGGTAGGACTTGGGGGTCTCGAAGACGGAGGGGTCCACCACAAAGGGGGAGGCCGGAGCAGCTGGAGGGGGGAGGGCTCTGGTCACGACAGCTGCCAGCACATTTGAGGATCCCAAGAGGCTGTAGCTGCCATCTGCCTCCTTGCCCAAAGGCGGCTGGCAGCCCTCCCGGCCCAGACCCTGGAGCACCTCCCTACCAGCGGCGCCCTGCAGGCCTTCGGGGCCCTGGGGTGAAGCCTCTTCCAGGGTGCTGCAGCTGTTGACACGTCCAAAGGTGATCCTAGCGTTCAGGATGTGGAACAGGGGGATTTCTGTGGGGAGGAGAAAGGAAGGGCTGAGGAGCGGTGGCCCCGGGCCTCCTTGCCACTCGGTTGCCTTTGGGAAGCAGAGCCAGGCGGCCATACCGATTTTCACCGGAAACCCAGGAGGGAAGTCCAAGGTGATGAAGTCCTTCAGCCGAGCAAAGTGGGCGCTGGTCCTGGCCATCAGGTCCACGATGGGGGAGACCTGCTCCACAAGGGAGAGCGGGAACTCTTCGGACATCCACAGGTTGGCCTTAAATCTGGGCAAGGAAGGCAGCGGGGTTGCATGGGCGGTGGGGGGGGGCACCATCCTACTATTGGAGGGGGGGGCTTTCTTCCCTTGGGACCCTTTTCTAAGGGCCTCCACACACACACACACACCCCAGGCCAGAGACGCGGTGGGAGATTTTAGAAAGGAGAGCAGCTCGTCTGCCATGTGGAAACTGGAGACACACACACACATGAGCACACACACAATCGCAATGTTCCCTCTTGTGGAGCAGATGCTGCTGGCGGGGGGGGGGGGGGCACAAAGAGCCCTGGGAGAACCAACGACTTTACTTCTGAGTCCGGATGGTCACTTCTTTGGGCCGGCCGATATCTCTGTCCTTCAAGTCAAACTGGGGGTCGAAGTATTCCTCGGGCGTGAGAGCTGTTGGGTTGTTGCTGGAGGCAAACTCCGTCGTCAGGTCCTGGGGGAAGGGCAAGGTGAGAGCCCTCAGGGGCCGCCCCCTCCCCCGGAAGGCTCCCCTGCCTCGGGCTGAGACCCAGAGGAGGGCCGGGTGGGTGGCCCCAGGACACTCACCTGCTGGGCTCCGTATTCGTGCTCAATGGTGCCCAAGAAGGACTCCAGGGGGTTTCGGTCAGCTAGGAGGAAGGGAGAGAGGCCAGTCAGCTCCAAGCTTCCCCCTCCCCCCCAAGGCCCCCTCCGTCGCTCTCACCTTTGTATCGCCTCTTCTCCTCTTCAGTCAGGTGCTCCGTCCGGATCCTGGTCACCACGTTCACGTTGTTGGCCGTGAAGACCTGGAGAAAGGAGGGAGCCGCTCGCATTGGCCGGAGTACGGGAGCCAGGCACAGCCTGCCGACAGCCATCCGTCCTCAGAGCAGGGAAACAGATGGGAGACCCCGAGGGGAAAGGAGGCGCCGCTGCCGGATTCCAGGCAGCGTCTCACCTTAGCTTCGTAGTCGTTCACCACTTCGCTCCTCTCCGTCTTCCAGACCCAGAAGCCAGAGGTATTTCTGCAAGGGAAACATCCGTTTCCAGGCTTCTGGGCTTCGTCTGAGACGCCGTGCTCCCGGGCCCTCTCATCCCCTGGAGGGACCAGTCAGGGGCTCCTGCCTCTCCTACCTCTCAAAGGCGATGCTCCTGGTGTCCAGGGAGGTGCTGAGGATGGGAGAGGTCAGCCGCCGCTCCACCTCCTTGTTCTTTGGAACCATGGAGTCCAGGGTCAGCCGCTTGATCTGCTGCGTGATCTCAAAGCGTTCGGACGCCACCACCTTGTCGTCGTGGTTAACCTCAATCAGCTCCGCCCAGTGCCCGGTATCTGGAAACCCAGGTGGGAAGGAAGGGCTGGTAAAGAGGGTCAGGGTGTGCCCGCCCCCCCCTCCCCCCACGGAACTCCGGGCCCAGCTCACCTTCCCCTCTGAAAATCAGGCTCCGCCTCCCTCGCTCCCAGCTCATGTTCTCAAAGCCCAGCAAGGTGATATCCACTCTCAGCTTGGCGCCGCTCTTCCAGATGCGGCAAACGTCACTGGGGCAAACTCTGGACACCAGCGGGACTGCGGGGAGAGGCGGGGAGAGCTCAAAGATGCCCGTCGGGTCACAGGACTCAAGCCAATTCACAGAACCAGGCTGAGAGGGGCAGCATGAACGCCGCCCCCAAGAGGACCAATAAACCTCCCCAAAGCGGCAGTTTGATTCACGCTTACCCCAGCTGGTGAATTCCCACTTCATTTCCACGTAAAAATCCGGAGTCTGTGGAGGGAAACAAGTCAACAATGAAAGGGGGGGAAGAAGGAAGCCTGGTTGGGCTCGCAGGGAGCCCTGCAGTCTGAGACCTTAAGGGACAAGAACTCAGGATCTTCAAGGGAAACATCCTTCAGCGGAGCGGGCAAGTCTGACCAGAAGCGGCCCAATGGCTGGCTCTTGGTTAGGAGAAAGCCAGCTCACCAGCTTTCAGGGCCAAGGTTAAGTCACCGCAGCAAAACAAGCCGGCCAATCTGCACCTAGGCCACTGGGGAGGCTGGTGGGAGGCCCAGCGGGTGAGGGGGGGATCCTTTTCTGCGCTCAGTTTACCTTGCTGATCTTCTGAAGCAATTCAGGGACGCCACCAAGGGTTGTGGACGTCTGCTGGAAGTCACGGTGTTGAAGGACCATGTAGACTATTTCCGGATCGCCGGTGCTAATGGCCTCGTGCAGGACTGGCAGAAAGAGAAAGCGAGCTGAGTCTGCAGGAGAGAGGCAGGGCGCTCGCCATCGCCGGCAGACGCAGCAGTCAGCTCTGTTCTCCAAGGCCTCCGTTTCCTCGCCACCTGCTCCGATTCCTCCTCTCCTGGGAAGAGCAGGGGGGGGGGGGCGCTCACCTGTCCAGCCCTGGGCGTTCTCCTTCGTGACATCTGCCTTGTGCCGCAAGAGGACGCGGACAGACTCCACGTAGCCCAAGGAGACCGCCAGGTGCAGCAAGCTTCGCCCGCGGGGATCCAGCTGCTCCACATCCTGGGAAAAGGAAGGGGGGGAGAGCTCTTCTGAGGACCCCCAGAACCGCCCCCCAGGGACACGGACAGGATTGTGGCCCTTCTCCAGACACACCACGAAACCTACGGAAGCAGCTCCAGCCCTGTGACGGCGGTGTTGCTTCGCTCCGACACACAGACAGGCAAGCTCAGAAATGAGGCAGCGTCCCAGGAGACCCCTCCTCGCTTTCCTCCCTTTCTCCCAAGGGCTGGGGGGGGGCTGAGTTGTGGAGGGGGGCTGCTCCTCCTCCTAACCAAACGGGGAGAATTTGGGGAGGGGAAAAAGGGGGAGACACTTCTCAGAAGGGGGTCTCCTCCTGATGGGGGGGGTCTGACCTGATCCTGGACAGGCGGGGGGGGGATTGGGGGAGGACCTTCCCCCTCCGGACACAGCAAGGCCCAACCAAGGGGGGCCCTGCTGGGGAGGGGCGGCGGAGGGTCTCCTCGCTCGCCCGCCCCCCTCCTGGGCGCCTTTCCTGGGCAGCCCTGGGGGGCGCGGGAGGGGGGTCTCCCCGGCCGGGGGCGATGGGCGGCCTCGGGTGGGATGCGCACACAGACAATGAGCGTCCGGACGGCACGGATGCGAGCGGGGCCGGCATGCGAGGCCCGCGCCCCTTACCTCCGCCTCCGGCCACGCGCGGGGCGAGCTGAAAGAGAAGAGCACCTGCGGCTGAGGCGGGGCCTGGCCGAGCCCCGGCGTCCGCGGCAGTCTACCCGAGCGCCGCCCCCGCCGCCCCCCGCGCTACCTGGCCCTGCAGGGCGGCCTCCAGCTGCCGGAAGTCGTTCCGCCAGACCAGCCGGTGCAGCGGGAACCGGGCGGCGGCGCTCATGCTGCGGCCCCGACTCTACGCCATGGCTCGCCCGCCACGGCCCGGCCGGCTGAGCACCGACCCGCCTGCTGCCCTCCGCCCGGCCCCGCCGCCGCCGCTGCTTTCGCCCTCCGCCGTCGCCGCCGCCGCCAGGCCCGGAAGGAGGGAGCTCCGCCCTGCGGCGCCGCGGCCAGGCGCTGCCCGTGACGCCCGGGGGGCCATCTTGGGTCAGGGCAGCGGCCGCCCCGCTCCGTGCGGGGCCTCCATGTCGACGAAGGGCCAATCGGGACAGGGCGCCGTGGCTCCTCCCACTCGCGGCCATGTCGAGGGCGGGCAACCCCCAGCAGCGGGTCCTGAGACGACCTGGCAAGGGGCGTTTCTTTGGGGAAAAGGCGACGCAGCGCCTCCTGGCTTTAGGGAGAGTTGAGGATTACACTGAGGCCAGTCTCCCCCCCCCGCCGCTCTTTCCGGCAGTCTTTTTCGCTTCCTTTCTAAGGAGAGCAGGGAGACACGGGAAGCGGCGGTTTTGCCCGCCCTAGACATGGCCGCGCCTGCCTCCCTTCGCCCGCCGCCGGCATGGCGTCCGCAGCGGCCCGCCCCTCCTCCAGCCTCGCGAGGGCGGCCCGCGCGACGTACGGAAGCGTCTTGGCGAATGGCGCCGCTTGCGCAGCGAGGGGCGCCGGCGGTGTGCGCGTGCGCGGCCAGGCGGCTCGGGGACTGGCGGGGCGGAGGGCGACCTGCGAGCGGCGGTGGCGGCGACCGGGGCCCTCCCTGCCGGCCATGGCCAAGCGGCTGCGGAGCAGCGACGTCTGCGCGGATTGCAGCTCCGCGGGTAGGCCCCGGGGGGGAGGGGGGACCCGTCCGGAAGGAGGGGAGCCCCGCCCGCGGCCATTGCCGGGGACCGGGGCTCCTGAGCGGGTGCAGAGCGCCCGGGCCTCTCGGGGCGCCCTTCCTCTCGCGGGCCTCCCTCGGGGGCGCCGGACGGGGCGGGGGAGCGGCCGGCCCGGCCGAGCGGGAAGGGGCTTCCCGGGCGGGCGGGGGGGAGGCCCCCTTGGCCCCCCCTCCCTCGCGGCAGGGTCCCCGCGCCGGGGCCGCTGCCGACGCTCCTCCCGGCTTCTCCCCGGCAGAGCCGAGCTGGGCCTCCGTCAACCGCGGCGTCCTGCTGTGCGATGAGTGCTGCAGCGTCCACCGCAGCCTCGGCCGGCACATCTCCCAGGTGCGGCACCTGAAGCACACGCCCTGGCCCGCCACGCTCCTGCAGGTACCGCCCGGGAGCCCCCAGCGTCTCGGAGAGAGGGAGGCGGCGGCGGCTCCTTCGGGGGCGCCCCGCAGCCCCTGGCCGCTTGTTCGGAGGGGTGGGCGTGGCGGAGGTGGAGGGACCCCGGTCCCGCCCGGGGAATCCTGGGCGATGAAGCCCCCCCCACCCCCATGTCACCGAGAGGCCGAGAAAGCATTTCCTGCCGGAGCGGAGGAGGAGGAGGAGGAGGAAGGGCTGCATCTGTGCCGAGCCCCGCGTCCTTCCCTCCTGGGGGTGGGGTGGGGTCGCCCTTTTATGCTGGGCCTGGGGCGGTTCTCGCCAGGGGCAAGAGGAGCCTCGTTTCCGGTGTCCTGACGGCTGAAGGTTTCCTGGGCACGGTGCAAAACAACCGGGCGATGAAGGCCCGCATTGTAATGGGTTTTATGTCGCAATGCCAAAGGAGAGGCCTGTAAGCCACAAACTTCCTGGGTTTCAACTGGCAGGGAAACGTTGAGGGGTTTAAGGCTTGGGGGGCTGGTGAAGGAAGCGGGCTTTCGTGCTCTTTAAAACGTCGGGCGATGCCGTTCCGGCTCCTTTGATTCAGAGAAAGCTCTGGCTTCCTCCAGCCACGAAGTTGCCATGGAGGAGGAGAAGTGGCAGCGCCGGGGCTTGTGCTCCGTCTTCTCTTTTGCAGATGGTGGAAACCTTATACAACAACGGCGCTAATTCCATCTGGGAGCATTCGCTGCTGGACCCGGCCTCGGTCATGAGCGGACGGCGCAAAGCAAACCCTCAGGACAAAGTGCAGTAAGTGGAGCGAGCCGGGCTGGCGCGAACCCTGAGGAGATGCCAGGAGCCTTCCTCCTGCTCCCTGAGCCTCCAGCAGCCTCTTCGCCGACTGGGGAAGAGCTAGCTTGACCTCGGTTGTTTAAACTCACGCACACATGCGCGCACCCTGCGAAGCCATCTTTGGGAATGTGCAAATTCTTACTTTGTGTAAATGGTTTGAAGTTCAGGCTCCACGCAGTGAGAGTTGGCATCCCACCCAACACCAAATCGGGGATCCCCTGGGAATAAATATACCGAGGGTGAAGAGCTTGGCCCGATTGTCCCTGGCTTGGTCACAGCCCGAGCAGTTGCCCACTTCTGCCTGCCCCCCCACGTGCTGCCCCCTCCTCTGCCTCTCGGGTCCTTAGCAGGGGAGACCCCTTGCAGCCTTTTCCTCTTTCCTGTCCTGCAGCCCCAACAAGGCGGAATTCATTCGGGCAAAATATCAGATGCTGGCCTTCGTTCATCGTTTGCCATGCCGGGACGACGACAGTGTGACCGCCAAAGACCTCAGCAAGGTAGGTTCGCCCCTGGGCAGTTGGCAGGAGGGCCCGGAGCATCCGGCTCCTGCAGGTGCCCTCGTGCCGGGCTCCAGCGGATCGGTGAAGCACGAGGCTCAGGGCGGGACGGTCTCTAAAGGCCTCTCCTGCCTCTGCTTCCAGCAACTGCACTCCAGCGTCAGGACGGGCAACCTGGAGACCTGCCTGAGGCTTCTCTCGCTGGGGGCACAGGCCAACTTCTTCCACCCGGTGAGAGAATGGCGGGTGGTCTTTCTGTAGCCCCAAACGGGCCTGGAGCGGAGGCCTTGCAGCTGAGCCAGCCTCTCACGGCCCTTCTGTAGGAAAAAGGGAACACCCCGCTTCACGTCGCTGCCAAGACGGGGCAGGTTTTGCAAGCTGAGTTGTTGGCTGTGTACGGGGCTGATCCTGGCACCCCAGACTCGTGCGGGAAGACGCCCGTGGATTATGCAAGGTGGGCCCTCTTCGGCCAGGGGAGGGGCTGTTTTGGTAGACCGAAGGGGGGGCTTGGGGACTTCCCCCCCCCCCCCCCCCGAGTAGAGCTCCCTCGGGGGAGATCTGCAATTAAGAGCAGAGCTGGGCAACAGCCCCCCCCCTTTGTTGCCCCCCTGGGAGCCCCAGGGCAGTCTAAGTGCCTCTCTGCCCCCGTTTTCCTTTAGGCAAGGAGGCCACCATGAGCTGGCCGAGCGCCTGGTGGAAGTACAGTATGAACTCACCGATCGGCTGGCCTTCTATCTCTGTGGCAGAAAACCCGGTAAGTGGAAGTTCTGGGTTGCCAGGATCCTGGGTTTCCTCTCCGCTTGAAGTGGGCCCCTTTTCTCTGCGCCCCCCCCAGCCCCCCAAGTCCAGGTGGGCAGCTTCCGGGAAGGCCTAACGCTCTTTTGATGTGTCCTTTTCAGATCACAAAGGCAGGCAGCATTTTATTATACCTCAGATGGCAGACAGGTAAGGAGTCGGCTTCGGACCTTGAGGACTTTCGGTAAAACCGTTTCCAGGAACGGCGCCCCAAATACGAGGCCTCCTGGCCCCGTCACTGCGCCTGTTCAGCCTCTGAAAACAAAGCCACCTCTGGGCTCTCTTAGAACGTCGATCCCAGCCCGTTCTCCTTAGCCAGCAGGATGGGATTGTTCGCAGTTCAGAACTATAATCTCACAGTATTTTTCCCGTTAATGCTGAACCCCGAATCCTGGGGATTAAGGGAGCTGCAGGTGTAAGTTTTAGGCTGCCTCCTCCTGCTAGCGCAAGGTTGCTTTGCTTTGTTTGCGGGGTGTTGACTTGCAACCCGAGCTGCCTGCCCGAGAGCCAGAGGAGACGAGACGGGGCAAAGCTAAGAGGGCTCATCTCCTCCAAATTAACGGCTTAGCGGCACGGAATGAAAAGCTGCTTTCGGTTGTGTGTGTTGGAGTCTCCCGTGTGACCCTGCACAGCTCTGGTCTTCCCGGGCAAAGGGGCTCCTGTTCTGAGGGGCTCTTCCTTCTCGTAGCAGCTTAGACGTCTCGGCGTTGGCCAAAGCAGCCAGGAAGAAGCTTCAGTTGGTGAGTCTGATCCCCTCTCCTCTTTGGCCTCGGAGGTGGGCAGGAAAGCCCAGCCCCCCTCCCTCCCCGAGACCCCGGCCGCACCTTCGGCCCTGGGAAAGGAGGAGCAGCTGCTTCCGGTTGAAGGCCCCGGCCGATGAGCCCAGGGGCGCGGGCAGGCCCAGCTTCACCGTTCGGTCTTGCCTCCCTCTTCAGCTGAGCAATCACCTGTTCGAAGAGCTGGCCATGGACGTCTATGACGAGGTGGACCGGCGGGAGACGGACGCAGGTGCTTTCCTCTGGCAGGGCTGCCCCTCCGGCCAGGGCAGCTGCCTGCAGGGCCCCACTCTGCTTCCCGGCCCCTCCCCCCCCCCCCGCGGTTTGGCTGTGCTGGGATTCGACATGAGGCCACGATGCAGATTAGCGGTGGGGGCGAGGGTGGGATTTGGGGAAGGGCAGATAATGCAGGAGCCTTATGCACCCCTGACCTCGCCCTCTGCTCCCACCAACAGTGTGGCTTGCGACCCAGAACCATAGCACTCTGGTCACCGAGACAACCGTGGTCCCTTTCCTTCCTGTCAACCCGGAGTACTCCTCAACCAGGAACCAGGTGCGAATCTTCTCTGGGCTCTGGCAGCCACGAGAGAAGCAAGCGGCCCCTCCCCCCCAGCCGAAAAACGGCAGCGGTCATCCATTTGGGCCTGGCGAATCCACTGGTCTCCCTTACCAGGCCCATCCGGCGGGGGAGGGGGAGGGACTTGGTGCCAGTCTTCCCATGCCACGTTGCTGTGGGGGGCCACTGGAAATGGGGCCAGAGTGAAAAGGGGGAAGGGGGGGGGAGAGTCTGCTGCCAGGAGGGGCTAGTTGGGGGAAGCCTTGGATCTCTCTGGGGAAGAGCCCCCCTCCGTGTGCGGAGAAGCCGTTGCCCTGGTCGGCCGTGGAGGCCCCTGACGTGCAGAAACGCCCCTTCGTTCTTGCAGGGAAGGCAGAAGCTGGCCCGCTTTAATGCCCACGAGTTTGCCACGCTCGTCATTGACATCCTGGGGGATGCCAAGCGGAGGCAGCAGGGCAACCCCATTCCAAGCGCCACAGGTGAGCCCTTTGCGGGGCCTCCCTCCCGTAATGGGGCTGGAGGCGGGGAGGGTCAACGCGATGGCCTAGAGGGGGCTGCGACGGAGGGGGGGTGGCGGGAGTCACGGGAGCAAGGCCCCAAATGGCCGTGAGGACAGAGGGGCCCCCTGGGAGGAGCCCCCTCGGCCAAGCCCCCACCCCCGGGTCTGCTTTCCCAGGCGGCTGGAGAGGCCCCCCTGCAGCCGTTTCTCTCTCTGCTCTCAGAGAACGTGGAGCTGATCCTCAGGGCGGTCAACAGCCAGCAGGGCCCGGCGGGTCACGAGGCCGACCAGCCCGACTACGACAGCGTTGCCTCCGATGAAGAAGGCGACCTGGGAAGCAGTTCAGGGAAGGCCTCTCGGCAGAAGGTGGGTGAAGACCCTTTGCGAAGGCCCTCCCGGAGCAGAAGGAGGCCGTGCCTGAAGGGCAGCCGCCTTCCCGAGGCCTCTGGCCCTCCTGAGTGGGAGGCGTGTGCCCGCGTAAAAGTGGGGTGGCCTTTTGCAGAGCCTGGACTCCGACTTGTCTGACGGCCCCGTCACTGCCCAGGAATACCTGCAGGTGAAAAAGGCCCTGGTGGCTTCGGAGGCAAAAATCCAGCAGCTTTTGAAGGTGAACGTCAACTTGAGCGATGAGCTGAGGACCATGCAGAAGAAGGTAGCCCTGCCCTCCACCCCCGGCCTGCCCTGCAGGGTTGCTGCCCCTGTCTGGCCACCGGCCGGTTGAGCAGAGTCACCGGGGTCCCTTCTGGTGCAGGGACAAGCACGGCCCGGGGAGAGCAGCGGTTTCCCCCGGCGGGCGCAGCCCCAAGTGCTACAGGCTGGGGACGATGGGGAATGGGGTACTATCCCTCCAGAGGAGCCTCGGTTGCTAGAGGCGGCCTGGGGTTGGAGGGCGACGTTTAGGGGGCTGGGGAGGGATTGGGATCCGAGTTCAGATCCCACAGGCCTTTGGCATCCCGGGGGCAGATGGGCCATGGTGGTCTCTGCTCTCCCCTCCTCTGAAAGGCCAACGAAGCCCTGCCCTCCTCCCTCCCTCCGGCTGTGGCCCACAACGCCCCAGCTTTGACCTGGCTCTTGGACCGCTTCACAAACTGCCCAGGGCGGGGAGCAGGTGGCCAGGCGGCAGTTGCAGATCCGCCTTGCCGAAAAAGAGGAAATGCAGCAGCCCCACCCCACCCCGGCCTGCCCCGTCCCTTCTGCCGGGGGATGCAAGCACGGCAGCCTGGCCACGCCTCGGGGGTTGGTTCAGATACACAGGGAGGGGGATGAAGGGGGGCGGCAGAACTGAGAATCCAAGCAAGGACCTGCCTTCCAAAGCAGCAGCCTTGGGGAGGGGGGGATGGGGGGGACTGCGACCGAGCTCCCCCAGGGCCGAGTTTGGCTCCACACCTCTCAATTCTCTGTGGGGTTCCTTCTGTTCCTCCTGCGATGTCGGTGGGAAGGCGCCATGCCAGGGCTGCGGGCAGTTTCTTCCTTCAAACCCTCAGCCAGTACTAAGCCTTCCTAATCACGCGCGTGGGTGCGCACCGCATGGGTGGAGCAGGGCCCTCCTGGGAGCTCCGGCCACTGGCCGCCTTGCCTGGGTCCTTCCGCCTGGAGGCCTTAGAGGAAATGGGTTGTGCGCTGGCTGCCTTGTGCCGCTGAGCCTCCTGCTTTGGCCGGTCACTTTCGCCTGGTTTCCTCTCCCACCGCTGCAGCTGCGGCTGTGGCATTTCCACACTTCCCCTGCCGGCTTGCAGCTCGCCCCTCGCGGTTCCACACAAGCGTCCTTCGCTGGAGCAAGGTTGCTCAAGCCTCCGCCTCACGGAGACCTTGTGGGAGCTGCCGAGCCCCGCCCGGCCCTTGGAAGGTGGCTGCCACGCTCCCCGCTCTCTGCTCCGGAGGCCCGAATCAGCCCTCTTTGAGTGGACAGCAGAGCGGGTGGGACGACTCCCCCTTTCGTTCCAGCTTCAGAGCCTGCAGAGCGAAAACACCAGCCTCCGACGGCAGGGCCCCCCCAACCCGCACCCAGCTCCGGCTGGGCCCGAGTACGCGGACACGGCCTCCGTTCGGCGCCCCTCCTTGCGCGGCAGCCGGCCCATGTCGATGTACGAGACGGGGTCCGTCCAGAAGCCCTACCTGCCCCTCACCGAAGCCTCCTACCCCGAGGAGCACATCGGGCCCCGGCTGCAGCTCTTCCACGTGAGTAACGCAGCTCTCCTGCCGCCTCCCGCTTTCTCCGCAGCAACCGCCAAAGCTCCTTTGCTTGGCCCTCAGCCCACCTGCGCTTTCCCCACTCGGGGTTGGGGGGGGTGGGGAGCCCTCTCTCATTCTCTTCCCTGCTGCCCCGGCGCAGGCAGCTCCCAGCCCACAAAAGCTGGTGGTTCTCTGGTGGGCTGTTTTTCCCAGCCTCCTGGAGAATCCCCGCCTGCCCGTTTCCCTCGGGGGCAGGAAAGAGGATCCCTCCATCCCACCTGTCCCCTCTCGTTGCCCCTTCCAGGTGTCCCGGCTGGAGAAGCAGAGCAGCTTGCCCGAGGGGGATTACGACAACACCACCCCTGCTCTGGAGCTGGACGAGACGGGGTAAGGGCCGAGGCTCGAGTGCGATTCCTGGGCCGCACCCGAAGGGACTCCCTTGTGGTCTTCACGCTAGCCTGAGCCAGAGGGAGCCGGGGCTTCTCTCTGTCCTTCCGGGGAGGGCCCGGAGCCGCCAGGGGAGGCGGTCTGGGGCTGCAGCATGCGTCTTTCGGCAGGCTCACCCGGAAGGCAAGGCAGCGGAGCGGCCTCGGGCCAGAGGGCAAGGACCCCGAGGCCTACCCCAGCCTCAGCTTCCCCAGCACCGAGGATGTGATTCGGAAGACGGAGCAGATCACCAAGAACATCCAGGAGCTGCTGAGGGCGGCTCAGGAGAGCAAGCACGAGAGGTGAGCCTGGGCGGCCTGCGGCTTGGGAGGGGGGGGCTGGGAACAAGGGCCCTTTTCCTGGGAAGGTTCACCTGCCTGCTCTCCCACCGCAGCTACGTCCCCTGCTCGGAGAGGATCCACCTGGCTGTCACCGAGATGGCAGCCCTCTTTCCGAAAGTGAGTAGTGCTTCTCTGGCAAGAAGGGAGGAGGAAGGGGCGCCATGGGGGGAGCCCCAGGTTCTGGGCAGCCCAGGAGGCGAGGTGAGGAAATGGAAGGGGTGGATTTGCAGGCGAGAGCGGGAAGCTCTGGAAGTGGGCATCCCTGAAGTTTGTGGAGACTATCAGGGGGCCGGTGAGCCCTTAGCCAGGTGTAGAGCAAGCAACAGCCGAAAAGCCTCTTGGGCAAGAAGGTTGAGGAAGGCCACGGGGCAACTTCGCCCTCGTCTGCATTCACACATTGCCCTTTTCTGGCCCGTAAACGGGAAGCCAGGTTGGCCACCACGTTCCCTGCTTTCTTCCAGAAGCCGCCGTCGGAGCTGGTGCGCACCCCGCTGCGGCTGCTGACCTCCAGTGCCTTCCGCCTGCACTCTGAGTGCGCAAAGGCCCTCCCGCCCGAGTCTTGCTCCACAGCCGACGTCCAGCTGGTCACCCAGCAGGTCATCCAGTGCGCCTACGACATCGCCAAGGCTGCCAAGCAGCTGGTCACCATCACAACCAAAGAGAACGCCAACTGAGCGGCCTCTGGCGCAGCCTTTGCCGTCGCCCTGGAAACCGTGTTCAGGTTTTCAGGGGAAGCTCTTTTTACAGGAATATTTAAAGCGGTGCGTTACCATTTTTTTAAAGGAAACTCAGTATTAAATTTTGTGCATGTTTTTTTTCTAAGAAGACTTTTTCCCAGGACTGCCAAAATCCACTGCCTTATTTGGTGCTCTGTATTTGCCGGCCTCGAGCGCCCATGCTGGGAGTCTGCCTGGAGTCAACCATCCCATCACCAGCTGACGGGACCGTTTTGCTGTTGCGAGGAGCGGAGTTCGAATCCTGCACTCTTTGTAGCCCCCGCCGGGAACTCGGACGCCCAGAGCGGGACCCTGGAATCCTGCTGTGCAGCTGCTTGGCCCCATCGAACCACTAGAGAGCAACCTCTTGAGATACAGGGACTGGTCGAAAGGACACCCCACTTTCCTGCTCGGTCTGCCTGGGGCCCAAAGCCGCCCCCCACCCCCACCCCACCCCCAAGAGCAGGCGGTGCTTGTAGAGGAAGGAGCGGCCTCCCTCCCTCTGCCCCTCCCCAGGCGGCTCCTCGTGCTGGGTTTCCTGGAAAGTGCTTTTGCAGAATGGCTGTGGCTTGGGAGGCCTCGTGCCTTCCCCGGTGTGGAAAGCTCTTCCGCCTTTTTACTTTTGGAATCCCCCCCGCCTTTACAAATAGGGGTGCGCGGGGGCCTTTTCCAGAGTGCATGCGGAAGGTCTGGCCGGGAAAGGGGGCCCAACACCCGGCCACCCCACTGGCAGTTGGGAGTGAAGTATGAAGAAAGCACACGGCCAAGGCACAAGGGCCAGTCAATGCAAAAAACGAGATTTGCGGGAGGGGAGAAGGTAGAGGGTTCGGAAGGTCGGGGGTAGCTTCCCCATTGCACATCCCCCCCCCACCCACACACCCCCCCCCGGGGCGGTGCAAGTTGAAAGCTTCCAAGCAAAGGCTGGCCAGCTGCCGCCTCACCTCCCAGAATGGGGTGAGCAGCCAACAGGCCTTTCCCATCCATTTCATGAGCTGACCTGCCGCTGCCCCTTAGGACTCTCCTGCAGCCGGAGAGCAGCGGGCGGGCAGCTGCCCCCGGCCTGGCTTGCTCAGGACCCCCTGCAAGACTGGGGGGAGGGGGACGGGGGACAGACCACCTGCTTTGCAGCTGTAGAGACAGGCTCCCCAACTGCATTTTAAAGCCACAACTAAGTGAAGACTCTGGTGCGTGTGTGTGTATGTGTGTGTATAAAATACCCTGCTAGTGTGTGCATATGTAAATCTTACATGTATAAAAACCAAGTGCCATAATATTTTGAGTGTTGGTATTTCATTGTAGCTCCATTTTTAAAGCTTTGTACTGGTTTTTTTTGGGGGGGGGGGGGGCAGGGGGGGGAAGAGAGGTGGAACAGAAATTGGGACAATCTTTGGATTGCCTGTCCCTGTCAGCCTTTCTGGTCAGCACCAGGCCAAAGAAAACCAATTTAAAAAGGAAAGTAGCACTTTATTGACCCTCTAAGCACCCATCCATCACCTTCGCTGCCACTCTTCTATCCTGGGCAACAGCCCCCAGGTAGCAGCTGCTGGGGGGGTGGGGGGGGGCAGGAAGACCACTCCTGGGGCAGCCTGCCCACCCCTTTTAGTCTCCTAGCCTCCCTGCAGGATCCAAGCCGACTGTCAGACAGCAGGAAGCAGCCGCCAAAGAGGTTCTCGGCCCCCCAGACCCAGAATGCAGAATCTTCTTCAGCTCCAGGCAGCTTTGGGGTGGCTGTGGCACTAGGAGGAGGGCAGGCAGGGGATGCAGTCAGGAGTCTGGCCTGATGCCGGCAGTCAGATCAGATCTCCCTCCCCCCTCCGGGCCTCCACCCCGGGGTGGCCGTCCTGAGCCCCGCCCTCCCCAGAGCAGCCCCCACCTGTTTGCCACAGCAGGCCTCCGCCATGCGCCTGGCCTCCAGCTGCTCCAGCTCCTGCAGCTGCTCCTCTCGCAGCTGGGCCTCTGTGGCCGCCTCCTGCTGGCGACGGAGCTGCTCCTCCTGCTGCCGCTGCCGCTCTGTGAGCTGGAGGAGAAGGTCCGCTCAGGACGGGGCACCTCCCAGGAGCAGCCCAGCCAGCGCCCCCGTGACCGCCAGCCCCACCTGGGCCTGCAGCTCCTGCTTGCGGGCGGTTTTCCGCTCTATGCCCGCCTGCTGTTCGCACTGGGTCAGCTGCCTGGCCTCTTCCAGCTCCTGGATCAGCTGCTCCCGGAGCCTCACAGACTCCTGCTGGGCCTGCCGGTTCTGCTCCACCTTCTGCTGGATCTGCTGCTCCCTCTCGGCCAGGACCTGTTTGGAGCCACAGATGGGACGGCTCAGCCGAGGCCTGTCCCCTCCCGTTCCCCCCTCCCCACCCCGGAAGTCCTGCCCTTACCTCTGCCATGAGCCTGTCCCGGGCCTTCCGCTCTCTCCCCCACTCTTCCTCTCGCTTCTCCCAAACCTGCCTGGCTTCCTCCCTGGGGGGGGGGGGGAAGAAAGGACAGGGAGATGCCCACTGCCCAGCAACAGGCAGCGCCAATCCCCACTAGGACCTTCCCTGCAGCCAAAGGCACTCCCGCGCATGCCGAGGGCCTTGGCACCCAGTGCCTCCGACCCCCACCGTTCGCCCAGCCACAGACAAGGCTTGGGAGGTGAGGATCCTGGCTCCCCCCCTTGACCCCTCCCTCCACCTCAGCCCTCCCCTGCACTCCCCCACCTGAAGATGGTCTCCAGCTCCGCCTCTCGTTCTCTTTCCAGCTGCAGCTGCTTTTCAATGACCTCCTTCATCCAGGCCACTGCAGCCACGGCTTCTTCCCGCCGCCGGGAGGACTGCAGGCGCTGGTCCTGCTCGTCCTTCTCCGACAGGGCCAGGAGGATCTGCCTGTCCTCCTCCTGGAATCACAAAGCCGCAGGACGCCACCATGGCTTACCACGCCCTGCAGAGATTGGGAGGGGGGCCCTTCCAGACCCCTTCAGCAGCTGCCTCCCACCCTGCTGGACAAGCTTACCAGCTCTTCCTGGACCTGCTGAACCCGTTTCCTCAGCTGGGCCTGGACCTGGTGCTTCAGAAAGCGCCTGGGGAAAGACGCGGGCATGGAATAAGTGGGCAGGCAATCCTGAGAGCCCCTGAGAAAGGGTTGCACTCCCCAGCAGAGCCTCCACCTCGGACCTGAGAGGAGCCGAGACTCTGCACGCAGCGCAGCTGGCTGGGCCCAGCAGCGGCTCCGATCACGGAAGCCCCCCCACCCCCACCTACCCAAGCTCCACCTTCTTCTGCCGCTCCTCCTTCCGCCTCCGCTCGGCTTCCAGGGCTTGCAGCTCCCAATGCTGCTTCAGCAGGCTCTCCTCCTCCTCCTTCAGCTTGGTGGCCTGACAAGGGGCGCAGGGGTGAGGGCCGGCAGCCAGGAGAGGCCAGGCCTGGGGGAAGGAGGGGACCTGCAGACCCCCCCTTCGCGCACCTCCGCATCCCGCAGCTGGAGCTCCGCCATCTGCTGCCGCAGGATCTCGGCCTGCTTCTCCTCGGCCTGCTTCCTGCGCTGCTGCTCCTGCTCCAGCCGCTCCAGGGCCGCTCGGCGGGCTCTCTCGTACTGGTTCTCGGAGCGGACTCTCTCTTCCTGATCTGCCGCTTCTCGCTCAGTTGGGAGGAAACCAGAGCAAGCATGACGCTCCGTCCACCCTCCTCCTCCCGGGCAGGTTCGGAGTGGGCAGGTGAGCCTACCTGTTGCTTCAGCGCCAGCTGGTCCCCCCAGGCTTCCACCACCTGCTTCTTGTGCAGCTCGGAGCTGACCTGAAGTGCAGCAGAAACACCGCATCACCGCCTGGCCCCGGTGGGCGCCGACCCCGGACCCTGTTCTCGGAGGGGGCTCTCCTTTCTGCGCCCCCCGCCCCCCCCAAGAGGCGGAGGGCTTGCAGGCTTCCCACCTCTCGGAGCTTCGCGCTGCTCTTCCTCCAGCAGTCGTAGAGACGATCCTCCGCCACCTGCAAGCCAAGGCCAGGAAGGGAGGCAACTCAGGCCGCGTCGCCCACCTCGGGGGCTGCCCAACCAGACCCCCGCCGCCGCCGGGAGGCCAGACCTGCTTCCGCCGCTCCTCCCTGGCTGAGCGCAGCTCCTGGCTCCTCTGCCTCTTCTCCTCCAGCTCGGCCGCCCCGCCGCTCCGCAGCCCCCGCAGCTCGGCCGCCAGACCCTCGCGCTCCCGCCACAGCAGCTCCCGCAGCCGCCGCCGCCGCCGCTCCAGGCCCGCCGCCGCCTCCTCCTTCAGCCGCTCCCGGTCATGCGCCTCCATGCTGCGGGCGGAGAGGAGGAGAGGGAGGGAGACGTGGAGGGGCCGCCCCGCCCCCCCCCCCCCCCCTTCCCCAGGCCCCCCCCCCCCCCGCTGACCTCTGCTGGAAGGAGCGGCGCGAGCTCCACTCGGCCTGTTTGCGGCTGCGCAGCGCGGACTGCTGGAAGGAGCGGCTGTGCAGCTCCCACTGCCGGCGCAGGCGGGCCTCCTGCTCCCGCCGCCGCACCAGCTGCTGCTCCAGGGCGCGGCTGCGGCCGCCCCAGAACGGCGGGACGGCGCGAACGGCCATGGCGGGGGTGGGGATGGGGGGGGCTGCCCGGTGATGCGCGGTGCGGTGGCGTCACACGGAGGTCCGGTCGCGCGCCTTGACGTCACCCGCCACGCCGCCACGGGATAGTCCCGGCGACCCAAAGCCGCGCTCGCCGCCTTCGATGCGCGCCCCGCCGCTGCCTCCGCTCGAAAGCCCAACGGCCCAGCTCCTTCCGGCGCCGCCAGGGGTCTCCATGGCAGCGCTTCCGGTCTCTTTACCGGGGCCGCCCAGGCACAAAAGCCTCCGTATCGCGCAGGAGGGCGGAGCCGAGCTGTGAGTCACAGAGCTAAGAAAATTAGAGGGGTGCTCTGGGTCTCACGGCGGGCGGCTTCCGGGTACTCTCTTGTTTATCTATTGTTTATTTATATGCGTCGATCGCTTACAAGATAATAGGTATAAGTAATAGGTATAAACATGAGTAAGAATACAGAAAATAGGTAGGAATAACGGGGGACAATAGGAGAGGGACGGGATGGTGCGCTTCTGCACGCCCCTTACAGGCCTCTTAGGAAAGGGGGAAGGTCAATCGGGGACACTTTGAGAGTAAAGGGCGGGGCGGGGGGTGAGGATGGGACAACAGAGTCCCAGGCACCGACCCCGCTGAGGCTGAAGGCGGACTTTCTGCAATCAAGTTTGGAACCAACCGGCTCTGACCCTCCGGTCCCGGGAGCGGCGGAGATGCCGCCGCCGCCGCCGAAGAGCAGCAGCAGCAGCAGCAGCAGCAGCAGCAGCGCCGCCGCCAGACCGGGAGCCTCTCGGCGGGAGGGCACCGTTCCCTTCTGGGGCAGCCCAGGCCGCCCTTTGCCCCGCCAGGCGCGCCTCTTGCAGAGGGAGCGAGTGCAAATCCGCCCGGCGATGCCCGCGGCCCCGAGGCGCTTCTCTCTCGGCCGGACCTTCCGCCGCGGGGCCCCCCTGGAAGGGGCCAAGGGGTCCTCCTTCCCGGCGGGGGCTGCGGGGCCGGACTGCCTCCCCCATCATCCCCAGCTGGGCACCCAGCAAGTGCGGCTCCGGACCTTCCGCCGCCCCGCCGAGGCTGGGCAGCGCAAGAGCCCTCTGTCCATGCTCAGAGGACGCGCCGCCCCGTCTCCGCTCGCGGCTCCTGGGAAGCCGGACTCTCCGTGGGATCCGGCGCCTCGCCCCCCGCTTCCCGCCTCAGCCGCCCCGGATCCCCCGTGCTGTCCCCCCCGTCCGTCCGGGGAGCGCCCGTTGAAGTGGCGGCGGCGGCGGCGGCGGCCCCTGGCCCGGACTGGAGCTCTCCGTCCGCTGCCGCCAGCCCGCCCAGCTTGACGGTAGACTGCTCCTGAGGCGGGCGGCTCGCCTCACCCTGCGGGCGGAGGCTCGGCGGCGGCCCGCCTCCCTCGGGGGCGGCGGTGCCGGGCTCCTCCCTGACGACGGCCGTTCTTCTGCCCGACTCGCCCGGAGGGACGGCTGGGCTGCCGCCATGGCGCTGCTGCTGGAGTACGAGTTCCGGACGCTGCCGGCCGACAAGCAGATCGACACGGAGCCCTTCCTGGAGGCCGTGACGCACCTGCCGCCCTTCTTCGGTGAGTGGTGGCGCGGTCCCGGGAGGCGCCCCGGGCGGCGAAGGGCGGGAGGGGGTCCTTGCGAAGCTCCCACCCCGGCCCTGCAGGGCGGCGCAGCGCTGCTCCGAGCCGGCGGCTGCGGCGGGGCACGACGGGGCGACGAGAGCGGGATCGGCTCCGGCCGGTGCGCTCCTGCGCTCGAGGGCTGCGGCTGGTTGGGGGAGCTGAGCCTCTGCCTCGCTGGAGCCCCTGGGGGGCCACGCGAGGGCTGGGCCGTCGACCCCCGTCCGTTCCTCCGCCCCGCTCCCTTGCCCCGGCCAGCGGGCCAGCGGGCCAAAAGGGGGCAGAAGCTGCCCGAGGGGCTGGGTGGCCCGGAAGCCTCTGCTGACACAATGAGGACGGGAGACTTTCATTCTTAAGTTGACGGAAGGGCCTCGGGACTCCCTTTGCGCCCCATCCAGGCGTTCTTTTCTTCTGGGGCGGAACTATGCAAGGGGGCTACGTCTAAATTAAGCCTGGTCTTTCATTAAGGTCTGTGCTTTGGGGCATGTGCAGAGGGCCCTCGGGTTGCCTTTAACAGGAGGGTCGTCCCTGCTCCAGAGCTCTCCCGCCCTGGGTTAGGTCTTTTCCCAGCTCCCCCATCTTGCTCCCTGACAGACCTGAACCCCAAACCGGGGGGGGGGGGGGGCAGCCAAGAGGCTTGTGGAAATTAGATCTCTCGGCTGTCAACCAAGAAGCAGCTTTCATCCTGGACGTAACTGACACCTGGAGAGATCCAGCCAGGTCTCCTTCTGTCCTTCTCTGCTTTCCAAACAACAAAGGCCGGGAAAGGCCACGCGAAGCAGCTGAGCCTTTTAGGGGGAGAGAAAACTGCCTTCCTCAGAGGAACAAACTATCTGCAATTCATGGGGGGGACGGGACGGGGAGACACCCTCTGAGGATTCCTGGGGGGGAAGCGAAGCGAGAAGGTGGCATTTCTCCCTTCCCTGCAACGGCCACTGTAGAAAAAGGGACACTCCGTGGACAGGGGCAGCTTACCAGAGAATACCAGACACTGAGATTAGACCAGGTTGCCTCATTCGGGGTCGCCTTGGATTGGCCCCCAAACTCCTTCATTAGGGGCCCCTTTAAGGCTTTTCTGGAGGTGCCAGTGGCCCCGCGAGACAGCAAGGGGAGTGGCTCCCTCCCTGGGGTTCAGGTGGAGCCAGGCTCCCCTCTGCGTAACTGATGAATGACTTATTAGCACATCCGCCTTGGCTCTGCCTAGCAAGCTGCCCCAGGGAGCCTGGATGGCGGGTTGTCCCCTTATACTACTTGAAACCTGGGGGTCCGCTGGGGGCCTCCGCTAGTAACAGCTGAGTGAACTTGAGACGGGGCTGCCTCTCCTGCTGGGCACGAGCGCCTGGAGATAAGCCCCGTCTACCTGCTGCTTCCCCAGGCCAGACTCGCTGGTTGCTCATCGCCCCCCCGCCCCTCCCCCAGTGGGAAATGCGCGCAGGGCCTCCTGGGTGTGCCAGCCTCTCCCTTCTCCCTTGTGCAAGCCTCAGCTGGGGTGGGGGGGTTGCATCACTCATCCGCCTTCCCCAGCACCTCCAGATGGGCTTGGCTGGCAAGGCCAGACTGGAGGGGGCCACTGGGTGTGGGAAGGAGCCGGGGCCTTTGCTTTCAGGCGGTGCCGAGTGACTTCCGGGAGGCACTTGGCCATTCCAGAAAGCCAGGGGGAACAAGAAGAACAGGAACAACCGGGCTGCCGTGGGATCTGGAGGAACAGGCAGTTTTTTCCCCCCAGGGCCGTGTGGCGGAACAGGCATCCCCAGAGCTGCCCCTCCCAGCCTGAAACTGAGCTGCCACTTTGTTCTCCATACCAACTCTGAGCAGGGGCGCAAAGCCTGCTTTGAAAATCTCCTGGCTCCTTGCTGGCAAACTGGTTCGCTTGGCGTTCAGAGAAGCCCTTGTTGGCCCCCCCCCCAGCCCCGTCCCCCCCCCGCTTCCATGGTCTTCCATGAAGCAAAATCGGAGCGGCCTCCTTGGGACCCTCACTCCTTTTTTGGCTTAAGCAGAGGCTTGGGCTGCAAGGCCCCTTCCGGCGCAGCTTTTCTGCTGTATTCCAGCGATTACATAGCCCCGGATTCATGGCAATATAGTGACTCTGGGTGGCACGGAACAAAAGCCACAACAGGCTGTATTGCAAACTGGAAATCATCCTCTAGAGACTGTCAACTTGCATGGACGATACAACGTTTATGTGTTTGACAAACCATCTTAAAAGGAAAAAAGCTAACCCAACTCACACCCGATCTTCAGCACACATTCTGGCCCAGAGGTGAAGGGAAAGGCATGGATTGAAGCCCCCCCCCCCCACTCTGAAAGGCTGACAAGATGGGAGGGGTGCTCTTTTGAAGCACCAAAGCCCCCTCCCCGGCGTCTTAGAGGAAGGGTGAGGTGTGTGTTAGGATTAAAGGGGCCTATTTCTGCCTCAGCAGCTTTCCTTCCTGTGGCTCCGTCTTCTTGTTTCTCACGACATCCCTGCAGTGTAGGTGAAGCCTAGGCCGGGGAGTAGGAGATGGCAAGATGGAGGGATGAGTTCTTAAAGGCCATCTAGCCCACCACCAGCTCTGGCTGCCCAAGCACCACTTCCCCAATTTCTTCCTGAAGACGCCCAGCTGTGGTGAAACCCCAGTGCTGAATTAAATGATAGCATTAAATTAAATCCTCCCATCGTCAAGATTTAATCCCTGTTGGCACCTCCTCGCCGTCTGAATCGGTTCCTTGCACCCGGAGCATTCCAGGGGGTGGACGGGGCGGTTCCTCTTCCCTACTGGCTTTGGCTGAGGGGGGCTGGGCCCTTTTCCTGGGGGCCCCTTGGCAGGCTGGATCGGGGTCCCAGCGCTGCTGAATCCAGATGCCCCCTGACCATTGCTCTCTCTCCCCCGCAGACTGCCTGGGCACTCCGCTTGTCTACGCCCCGGTGAAGGCGGATCTCTCTGGGAACATTAAGGTAGGGAAGGTCCGGGTGAAAGGGGGCGCGGGGTCTGCGCTGGGATCAGGCCCAGGCTAGCATCAAGCCGCCATGGGTCCTTGGGGTGCTTATGGCTGGGGCGGCTTGCAAAGCAGGGCCCACCCCCGGAAAGGGCTGCATGTGGGGAGGCCCAAGGCAGCAGCCTCAGCTCCAGAAGGAGCAGGATCCCGGGGGGGGGAGGGCGCTGCTAATCAGACGGGGGCCCTGCAACCCCCCCCTCCCACCAGCTGGACCCAAACCACCCCCGGGTCAAATTTAGGATTCTCTTTTGGCTCAATTTCAGAAAATACGGGCGGTTTACGAATCAAACCCAACCAAGTTCAAAACCCTTCAGAACATCTTGGAAGCGGAGAAGGAAATGCACGGGTCGGCGTGGCCGAAAGTGGGAGCCACCTTGGCCCTCATGTGGCTGAAGAGGTGAGGGGGTGACCGCAAAGCCCCCTCTACTCCCGAGGGGCGGCTGGAGGACCTGGGGGTGGGGGGGTTGGAGCTCGAGGGGGGGGGCCCCGGCAGCCCCTCAGGAGCCCCCCCCCCCCCCCCCCCCCCCCCCCAGGGGACTCAGGTTCATCCAGACCCTGCTGCAGAGCCTTTGCGATGGAGATCAGGACAAGAACAACCCAAACCTGATCCGCGTGAACGCCATCAAAGCCTACGAGCTGGCCCTGAGGAAGTACCACGGCTGGATGCTTCAGAAGCTTTTCCTGGTGAGGCCCTGAGGGGGGGGAGGGGGGGAGGGGGGGCCCCCGCCAGGAGCCAGCCTGCCCGGGGAAGCTGGGGGTACCTGGGGGGGGAGGGAGGCCACACCCCTGCCCTCCCCCTTCTTCAAAGGCCTTGGGGGCCTTTAGGACCGAACGCTCTGGCCCTGCGGAGTGGGGGGGATTGTTTGCAAGGCCGGCCAAGGCAGGGAGGCCGAAGGTGCCGCCCACTGACTGGCTCCCCTCCCCAGGGCTCTGTCTACGCTCTCCCCTACAAGTCAGACCTGCTGAAGGCCCTGGAGAAAGGCAAGGAGGTCAAGGAAGAAGAGACCTTGGAGAAGATCCACCAGTTCTTGTCCAAAGCAACACCCATCCTCGACACCGTCTACGAGATGTACGCAAAAATGAACGCAGAGCTGGACTACAAAGCTTGACCAGGCCCTCCCCCCACCCCCCTTTGCTAGCCTGGGCCCACTTCTCCCCTCCCTCTGCAGCCCAGCAAGTGCCTTCGGGCCCCTCAAGGTCACCTAGACCAAAGATCTGCAGCAGTTCTAGGAGGCCGAGGCCCAGCTGAGGGGCTTCGATGCTCTTTTGTGGTCTTTCTCTAATGGCCTTTCTCCTTCTGGGGGTCAGCAGCCCCGACCAGCTCACTGGGGCTGCCTGCCAGGGAGAACCTGCCTTCCTCCGAGCTTTGGACAGCGCACCAAGACACCAGTTGCGCCCCAGGACTGGCTAGTGCCCAGACACCCCACGGGCCGTGCCAGGAGGGCTTGTAGAGCCGGGAAGCCTCTTCTCGGGAGGCGGCTTCTGGCAGTGGGGCCACGGTGGGCTTCCTTTGCCTTCCTCTGGGTGGCCTTTTCACTTCTCAGCCTCACCTGACCGCCTGGCTGGTTTCTGGAGAGCGGAAGCAGCCAGCCAAGCGCGGCCGGACTTCAGTGACTCTTCCGAGTGGCCCTTTGGGTGAACATCTACGAGGCTTCTTTGCACAACGGATTTCTTCAGGGAACGGACTCCAGCTTAAAACTTGCTGTCATTTTCTGGGGCATAAAATCTATGCCAAGCCTTAACGGTGTTGCTACCGCTTGATGCCTACTGGGGAGGGTTTTAGGAAGCCCAACAATTGAAATAAAATTTTATGAGAGAGACCTGCAATTTTATGAGAGAGACGTGCAATGGGAGGGGCAGCTAAACCACACTGGCTGGGGGTTGTGGAGGTTGAGTGTGGGTGTTGGGGGCTTTAGGACACCTACTTTGGGTCCTGTGTAGACAAATATTGCTTTAATTGATGCACCCCAACTATTCTGAAAAGGGCAGCCCGGTGGCCCCTGTGTTTATTTGCAACTCCTTGTTTGTGAACCTGAAGGGAGAAGCAGGTAACTCCCCCTCCTCACTTGGTCCTGTTGCACCCAGGAGACGGTGGGCGTCTTAGGAGGGGGCTTTGCCCACCCTGCTCAATTTCCAGGGCCCCTGGACTCCCAGCTGGCATTTTCTGGAAGCTGGAATTTGCTGCACACCAGCAGGCGGCAGCCTTTCCTAACAGTTGGACTGGCAGACAATTGGGGTGGGTGGGGAGAAACCCCTGCCCCTCATCCACACCCAGGGAGGGAGGGGTCATCAGATACAGCCCCCCCCCCCAGGGTTTGCAGAAAGAAGAATTGGGGGGGGGGGAAGGATCCCTTTGGGGTTGGAGGGGCAGGGGGGCTCAGTCCTCGGACTCAGAACAGTCATCAGCCCTGTTCCTCTACCCACAGTGTAGGGTGTCCAGCAGAGTGTTGTGTCAAGGCCCCCCCCCACCCGCTGCAACCTCCCCCCCCCTTTGCTTTTCAACTCCCCCCCCCATCAGCTCCTTGGCACTCCTGTCGTCCCCGGGTCAGGGGTGCAGCCAGGCCTGTTCAGGCTGGCCGGAAAAATTCCTGCCTCCAGCATAAATCTAAGCCCTTGGCTGCCCCCTGCTAAAGCCACCAGCCCAGCCAGAGGGAGGGGGCAGGGGGGAGGGAGGGGAGAACTGCCAGGCCCAGAGTCAGAGAATGGGTGGGAAGGTGGCCCTTCACCCAAGGAGCCCAGAGGAGGGATTGTAGTTCCCCACAAGCCTCTCAGCCTTTGGGCGTTGCAGTCCTGTCCTGTCCCGCAAGAATCCAGAGTGGCTGGGAAGACGCCCCCGCCATCTCCTCCCCCCTTCAGGGCTGCAACGTTTACTCCTCTTCTCAATCCCTTGCCAGTTTTCTGCCCACCTGCTTGCAACTTTCGGCAGAAAGTGGGGGAAGAAAATAATAACGCCGTTAAAAGGCTCTTTCTAGCCCCGCCTGAGCTCCACCCTCGGCCGTTTATTTTTGCCAGGTACCGGTAACAAACAGGCAGTGAAGAGCTGGGTGGGTGCGCAAAAGTTTTGGAAGCCTTTCCAGGAAGAAGAGGGCCTCATGCCACGCCTTGTTCCTTTCCCCACCTGCAGGGGATCCTTTCTGAGGCAGCCGGCAAGTTTGCTCTGGTTTGCTTTGGGGGAGGGGTTTCCTTCCTCACAGCCCCCCCGAGAGGGGACCCTCGCCTGTCTCTGGGCTTGTCCTAAGGTTTGGGGGGGGCGTTCCAGGGGGGCCATCCGTGAAAGCGGGAGGCGGGGTGGCTGCTCTTGAGAACACCTGGAGCGTTCCAGCGAAAGTGTGTCCCCCCCCCCAGGACAGACGGGGGGGTCTGGTGAGTGACGTCTCCGCAAGGATGGTCCGGGCAGCTCGGGGGCGCCTGGACTCCTTCGCTCCGCGGGAGCTGAAGCCAGAGCAGCCTGTGCGGCGCCGGGGGATTTTCGGCGGGTGAGACGGGGGACCCGGCGCTGAGGTGAGCAGGGCACGTCCGGCCTGGGAGGAAGGGGCTGGGCTGGGGTCGGGAGGGGGGGGCGTGGCTGCGCCCCCCCCCCCGCTCCCGCTGGACACGTCCAGGGAAGGCGGCTCCAGGAAGGGCCCTTTGACGGCGGCTTCTGATTCTCGGGCCCTGACCTCCCCCTCCAGCCCTCCGGGACTCGAGCGCCCATAATCCCCAGCCAGGACAGCTAAAGGAGTCCAAAGAGCCCCAGGCGCTTTCCTCCGGAGCCCGACTGGGGGAGGAGGCGCTGCCTCTGTAGCCCTTCGAGGTCGGAAGAAGAGAGATTCAACGGGGGCGTTCTGCAAGGCGCAGGTTTGGGCACTCGTGAGGCCACCTATCCGGGCCAGCCTCGGAGGCCAGTGCCGGACTTTGGGGAGGCGGGATTCGCTCTTGTGGTGCCTTTCCCGGCGAGAACCGTTGGTTGCAGTCCGGGACAGAAACTGAAGAACTCGGCGCCACTCAAACGGGCAAACGTGGCTTAAGAGAGCCTCCCCCGTGCGCCCCCCGCACACCATAGTCCCGAAGCTGAAGGGGCCAGTCGGTGACACCCCCCCACCCGCCCCAGCTTGGAATCTGGTCCAGCCGGCTTGGAAATGGGCTTTCTTCCCGAGTAGCGACTGTCGGCGCTTAAGAGCGTAAGTCCGGTTTCAGCTCCGATGCAGGCGAGCCCCCGACTCTGTCCCGCTCGGAGATCTTGGCTCTGCCCTTCAGGGTCACTTCCACACCGCGAGGGGCAGAGCAGTTGCAGAAGGAAACTGGCCTGGCCCTGCAGGAGCGCTTTTCTTCTGGGCAGGATCAGAATCCACTCCCCGCGTTTTATGGAGATCCACTCCCGAGCTCCACGGATCTAGTTATGGCTCTATGTCTTTGGGTGGGACAGAACGGTGGTCCCCTAACAGCACCGCTTTTGAAGGAGGCAAGACCAGGGATTCCTGCAGGGGTGCAACAGCAGCTCTTCTGCGGCATCTCCTCGAAAGTTTGTGCCCTTCTTGCCTTCCCACCCACCAGGCGCTGGGCTCTGCTGGCTGATCTCCAGTCTCCCCTCTCTCCAGGACCCCAGTGGAGCCCTGTTTGGGCATGTTGATTAATCCTTTGAGGAGCTGTGGAATTCTCCAAACCCTTCAGCCGCAGGACAGCCAGGAGGTTGGGCATACACAGCCCCCCCCCCCCCCCCCCAAGACTGACAGAACACATTTTGGAGAGGAATCCTGTGCTCTGTGGACTCTCTGGCAGGGCGGAGACCCCAGCGCTGCCAGCGACGCAACCACATCAGAGGAGACAAACTGCGCCTTCCTGCCAAGCTCAGGCCCGGCTTGATTGTCCCCAGATGCCTCTGGGGCTGCAGGACGAGCCGGGATGGACCGCGCCTCCCTCCGCCTGGGGAGACTGGAGGCCCCTCCACACCCCGGGCTTCCTGCGCTGGAAAGCCCCCAATAAGACGAGGGTTCCTGTTTTGGAAGGGGGCGCCCCTCCCCTCTGCACAAGGCGTCCCTCCCAATGGGGCTGGCAAGGAAGCTCCTTGCGGTGAGGCTGCAAATGGAAGCTTTGGAAAGCTGTGGTGGGGCAGCTCAGCCGGCTCCCCAAATCGGGTTGCACACTGCCGCGGGTTGGGGTGGGGGGAGCTGGAAAGGTTCGAGATGAGTCCCGGGGGGGGGGGGGGGGCTCGGATTCCTTTAAGGGTCTCAAAAGGGTCAGGAGAAAATTCGCCTCCCCGGTGGCTCCTTGGGGGCCGGGATCCAAGGCAGGGCGGGGAGGTTGGCGTTTAACCAGCGGGGCTTCTCTCCCCTGAATTGACCCCATCTCGCCCCCCCCCCAACAATTGCCACATCTTGTGGTGGAGAGTTCCACCATTTGATTCTGTCGCCAGCGAAGGAGCTGCTGGGCGAAGCCAGCCCGGGCAGAGAGCCGGGGGGGGGGGGGGGGGGGGGGGGGGGGGCTTGCCGGAGGGGCCCGCCGCCTCCCTTGTTTGTCCAACTCCTCCCTTGTCGTCCTTTGATCTCGGCGGCGGAGAGCTCCCCCTCCGGCTCTGAAGAGCTTCGCCGGGACTTCCGGGGCCCCGAGGAGCTGCTCAGCTTCGCTCCGAGTCCGGATGTGCCTGAAGTTCCCGGGACTTTCCCCCGCGCTCCGTTCCCGCAGAGATGTTCCCCGTTCAGGCTTCCTTGCGGGAAAGAAACGCCTTTAGTGAGGCGGCTCCGATCGCCGGTCTCAAGGGGCTTCCTGGTTGCTCCAGAGACGCAGCTGCATCGGCACTTCGGGCTCCCCTGTCCCCGCCCGACCCAGCCCGCCTGGCTTGGCTTCCTCTTCTCCCAGCCCCGCTCCCCCCTCCCCCCGCCCCCCGCCCCCTTCCTCCCCATTTGCTCCGGAACTCCCCGTTCCTCTTTTCTTCCTCAAAACTGCTTCAGTCCCTGCGGCTCTTTTCCGAGGAGCGCCAAGGCCCCCCCGCACTCTCTGGAAATTAGGAAGACGTGGAAGCGGCCGGAAGCCCATCGCTGTGAATCACAATGGAGGATCTCTTTGTGCCCCGCCTCCCCGGGTCCTGGGTGCAGGGCAGAGCCAGCCTCCTCCCCGCTTAAGGACACTGGGCTCGCCCCAGTCCAGGATCCCAGCTTCTGTACAAGGGGAAATGGGTGGGTGGGTGGGGGTGGGTGTCTTTTTAAGAAGAGATTGGATAACCGTTTGACTGAGGTAGTGTACCCTTTCCTGCCTAAGCAGGGGGTTGGACTAGAAGACCTCCAAGGCCCCTTCCAACTCTCTTATCCCATTCTATTCTACTCCTGAGGGCGAAGGCCAGGTAGGATCTCTCTCTGGGCCAAGGAAGGGCAGGGAATGAGAGGCAGGGGTTGCAGTGGGGTTCAGCCACAGGCATTAACGGGAGCCCCAGGTTCCTCAGCCGGCCCTTTGGCCCAGGTCACCCTCCCTCACTCCAAGGGGTCGGTCTCTTGGGGGGGGGGCTCCTTCTCTCCTTTCCCTGGTGCAGCCTGGGAACGTTGCAGGATTCGGATTGGCAGCTCCAGGGACGGAGGCAGGCCTTCAAAGCAGGGGGGACACATCCACACACCCCCCCCCCAGCAGGGAGCTGGGCTACACCATTCTGCCCCAGGGTTGCTTCGGCACGGCTTCTGCCCCCTGGTGCCCCTTCCCCCCCCCAAGAGCCCCCCCGCTGGTGAGAATGGGCACCTCCGAAAGAGTCTCCTCTACCAGGCTGCAGTGGAGCCCAGGAGGACGGCTGCTGGCAGCCCCTCCAGGAGTGCCGCCTGTCTGGGTTTTGGGTGGGGTCCGGGTGAGGTTTC